TGGGGCTTATTGTGGGGGCGCATCGTTGGGGTATCACGGCACATTCTGATTCACGCGGAACGCTGTCAACCCAAACTACTGCTGTAGCGCGCTATCGCCAATAGATGGTTACGGTGCAGTGACCACAAGACTGAAGGAAAGTCGGAGGTACGCACGCGTGTAGTTTGGAGAAGGACCCCCTCTCAAGTTTTTTTGCGGAAGGAGAAACAGGAAGCTGGACAGGGGGGCGGGGTGGATTTGAAAGTAACAAATAATAGGATACGACCTTGCCCACATCATACGAGCCTTTTGCCATGCTTGTTCGATACATGACCCCCCGCAACTCCAACCCACCCATTGTCCTCCTAGTGGTTAGCATGACCATCCTACGGGCGGCTTAGACTACGTTCCTTTGCTGTTCGAACGCTGTGCTTCGTGTCCAGCGTTGATTGTGTCTCCTCTGGTCCCCCAACATCCACTTGTCGCAGTTTCAGACCCCCCGTAGGTCAAAGGATTGTGAAATATCCCGTGCGCGAGAAAAAGTGACAGGTTCAATGTTGGCGGCGAATAAAATGTTGTCCAATTTCAGACTGCCGACCACAACAACAGAATAGTTTCCAACAATAGCGCCATCTTAATTTTGGGTCGCTGGTTGTGTTTTTGATTTTCGTCGCCACAGCGGGGCAAAGGCTGCTATGCATAATATTCGCTCAAACTTTACTTGTTTTCGTTTTAGTCTCAGCATAAGGTCTTCTCGAGGTCATTCTTCATCGATGGGGTAGGCGACCAATCGATGTAGGTCAGCCTCTGCGAAGGCCTGTACTAACGGTACAGGTGGTTCCCAGTTGAAGCTTAACCTCCAAGCGAAGTTCGGGATGGAGGGCTGTCCTGGTAGGGTAGAGGTCCTTGTTTAGTGCCGGTTGAATAGTGCCGGTGTTTTCGGCGGGCACAAACCGAACCAAGTCATTCTCAATACTTTGAATGGTGCCTGTCCGGCACTAAACAGGGACGTCTACCGTATTTGTAAAAAATTCAAAATGCTTTTCGACAAAGTACTTGGAAAAAGCGGGCAGTGGTGTTGGTGTGGAGTTGGTGGCATTGCTGTGAGAGCGGTTTCCTTGTTCGGTCAGGCCGTATATTAACGAAGTGCCAAAAATCAAAATCGAAAAAATCAAAATCAAAATCGAGATGTAATTGGTCGAATTTCTGCTACCTCCTGACGACGCCCTTTGATTTTATGGAAGTTCCTCTGTCTGGGAAGAAGTCCCCGGGGGACTTTTTTTTTATCAAAATCAATATCAAAGAGGCAAGGAGTTCAAGACTTCGAAGGCTTGGAGCACCTGCCGCGAGGCAGCTGCAAAGCAAGTGTACGACACGACCTGCTGCACACTGCTCATAGAGGGGCTATCGGCACCCTACCACCGAGACCATGGCCATTATTTGTAGCCAGAAGACTCTGCTCGCCGGCAAGCCAAAAAACGGGCCGGCTCGTTGGGTGCTCGAGGAGAAAATGCCGATTGTGACAAGTGGTGGACGGACTGACGTTTAGAACAGGGCTGCGCGGCGTTTTCGGGCTGTTCCGTGCGGGAGAGGGTAGTTGCAACCTTTTTTCTCCACACTCACGATACCCCAAGGCATCTAACCTTGTACGAGACAGATGGTGGGTAAAGCTACCTCCCGTCGCGCGGCATTGCTTATGCTGTTCCTTCCTCCTTCGAAGAATTATCGCTGAAAAACTAAACTGTGAGCAGACATTGGGCGCGAACCTGAAACTAGCCGCTCTCTGGCGTGGATATAATAGGGTCAACCCATTGTTTTTTCCCTACACGCACGATACCCCACGGTAGCAGACCTTGGGCTTGAAAGATGGAGCAGAGAGGTACCTCCCGCCTCGTCGCGTTGCTGTTGCTGTTGTTTCCTCCTTCGGAAAGTTATCGGTGGATACCATAACCCGTGGCGGCCCAAAACACCGAACTTGAAGTGACCGCTCGCAACCGTTGGCATTTTTACTTCAACACAACCTTTTTTTTCCGGCGCATTCGGCACCTCACGGCGCCAAACCTTGGCATTGCCCAACAGCCCATGTTTCCAGCTCCTTCCGGATACCGTTCTTGAGGCAACTCGTTGAGTATTTGGCGAGATATCGGCTAACACGTGCACAGAAGAGCGCAAAACGCACCCTAGAAAAAGCACCGCTGGGCTGCTGGCTCTTCCCCTGGCGCCAGGTCTTTTTTATTTTTTGCCTTATCTGTCTCCTATCCTCGTTAACGTGGTCGACCCTCTTTTTTCAATTTTCCACGATAACGCATTTTGATTTTAATTATGTGCCTTGGGTTTTGATTTTTGGCTCTTCGTTAATATTCGCCCTCAGAGAGGTGTCCCAAAAAAGTTTTTAGAGCCAGCCCAAGGGTGCGGCTTCGATCCCAATTACCACATGCTGAAGCTTACACTTTATGAGCTGGTGGGTTTTAGGGTTACAGCTTCCGTGTGGCACTCATGGACCGTAGCAATATCGTTCCGGCGTCCGCGTCACCCCCCGTCCCGCCTCACTCGGATATTGGCTTGACTCTCGATTTCGATCTATGTAGGTGTATTTCAAGACATCGTTCAAAATAACACACATTAATTTTCCACAGGGACCTTCAGCTTGTGTCCTGCCCGGGCCTTCCTTTTGGGTGACACTTAAAAAACGTGTGGTACGTGCGTAACAGGCCCTCAAGATGACTTCCTGTCGCTTCGCATTAGACGATACAGCTGCGGTATGTACCATTCTTTGTGCCTCGCACGCTCGTTCTTCGTGCATGTGTTCTATGGTCCGAGCAAGGTGTTTCTAATACCTGAAAAGTGTGGTCCCAACAAGCTCGCTGGTATGTGTATGATACAAAGAGACTAAGAGCCAAGCGATGTTCGATTGCGCTAAGTCGGGACCTGGCGCTACTTGGGGAGGTGCTATTGAGGGCCCCAGCAACAGAGGAATAGGATTTCAACATGTTTTCGTGCCACTACTACGTATAGTGGCACGAACACGATGCATGCGCACAAGTCTATCCCACTCCAAGCGCACATAGGCGTGAAATGGTGTCCACAGCAATCACTGTCTGGCACGTACAGTAGGCTCTGCCTGCGGATCAACAGCAGTGTACCTTACGAGTAAATATGTAGTCTACCACCGAGTATTATTTAGTCTACGCAGGAAGCAGAGAGTTAGAGGTGAGAGATACGAACTCCCGTTTACTACCACTCACTTTCTTCGGTCGGCGAGCATTTCTGTTGACAGCTTCCATCGCCGGTACAACAGGCAGAAAATCCCCTTGGGCAGCTGCATTTAACATGATCCCATCACCTCTGCACACATCAAGCCGTCGCATCACGCTCGCCAGCAGGTCAGGTTGCGGACAAGCACGTGCTACTGGCACTTGCTGGTGTACTCCGCCTACGTTGTTTCTAGAGAGAGCCATCATCGACCTTGCGGTCCTTGCCGCGGGTACCGCCCGAAGACACCGCGCTACTGCTGCAGCCGACATGGTAACGCTGGCCTGTGTGGTTGCTGTGTCTGCTGGACATGTGGCACCAAGCCATAATGACCTATTGGAGCTTCCCGGCAATAGGCAGGGGGGCTTCGCAAACAATCACCGTAACCCCCCCGCTAAGTTGGTCGGTGCAACTCTAACTCTGGTGTGGTCGCACACTGCACACTGAAGCAGTGCACATTGGCAGGCAGTGAGTGGTCTTCGCTGTGCCTGCTTGTCCTTCGGAGACACATACATACATACATACCCACACACAGCTTGGGCAGCTTCACAGGTGTGTGCTTGGCAGTTGTTTCAATCGCTTGAAAGCAATAAGGTAGGCCCTGTAGTGCATACGGTTGGGCGAGTAATGAGCTTTTCTGCCGCTGAAAGTGGACTAGATAATGTACCCGCGTGCAGTGAGTAACCTTGCGTCGAATGTATGTGCCACAGCAGCAGATTATGAAGCTGGCGGTATAGCATCCGACAAACCAGTGAGACGTATGGAGTTTCCATTGGTGTTTGCGTGAGAAGGCAAGCCATGTAGCACTTTCGCTGTTCCCACGTTTAGGCTTTTTCAGTCCAAGGTCACATACTACGGCTGTTGGCGACAACTGGCCTCTCATGATTCCACATGTCATGTTGTGGGAGGCCGCCACATTCAAATTCAACGACTTCGCACTTCGCACCCTAGCGGGTGACCTCCCTTTAATCCAGGCAATACATTGCTTGTTTGGCGCCCTATTGCTGCCGTGAGTATCGTAGCGTTTCCAGACGCCCCCCTCGACACAATCTGCGCCGTACACAGCAGCAGTAGTGCTGTACTTTCCGCTGTTGTCTTGACCATACCGGCGTCGTATCTGTCATATCCAGTAGGTTGCCGGCACGCGAGATTCGCTGCAATGCGGAAGTGCGCGAGATCACGACCAAAATATGCGCATCCGCCCGATTCCGCTGTATGCTACACGCGTGTCCTTCTCACTTCTAGACTGTCTAATGAGTGGTGTATCAAGATTGGTTCCCAGTGGTGCATGTATCATAGTAAAGGAAGAGAGAGGGGAGGAACAAGTGATAGCGGCAGGCAGAGATCACGGCCACAGGCTTTTTATTTTTGGCAGCACGACTGAAGCACCCCCACCAGATCACGCGTGTAGGGACGTCTCTGGTGAAGGCGCTCGACGTTTGCACTCTCGCTGCTGCTGGCGGTGCTAGGCACCGAACACGTGGTTTTCGCTGGGAAACTCGAGGTCGCTACCTGTGGGTGCAAGCAGGGCGACGAGTGTGTTCGCTCAGCAGCAACAGGGTTGTCTCAAGAGTACTAAAAAACACAGCAGTGAAACAACAACGCTGTTGGCGTGGAACCGATGTACAAAAGGCAGGTGTAGAAATGTTGGCCTTGCTTCACAAAGTACTGCAACAAGTGCTGCTTGATAAAACCGCCACTGCTGTGCTTTTTCTCCTCGCACCTCTCCTGCCGATCAACTGACAGATACAACGACCAACATGGTGGGCATGCCTGCAACGTTGGCGTTCCTGTGTCTGGTTGCACATTCCTCAACATCGGCCGCCGCGTCTACCTGTCAAGGAGGAGCTCCTTCAAGAGCTTTCCTCGCCCACGGCAGGCGGTCTTCGGCCCTGACCAGCTCTAACGCTCGGTCATGTAACCCTGGCCCAACAACGCAGGTAGGTTTGCGTTTTCTCTTGGAGAGGGCAGCCTTGTTCCTACAATATGCTGACTGCCTTTTGTCCAAGGCTGTTCTGTTGCGTTGCGTGTTGCCATGGGGCTATGATGTCAGGTGCCATGAATGTCGGGAGATGATTTACTCGCTGTCGTATTTCAGGGCTCCTGTCCTTCACAGGTTCGCCCGTTTTACAAGGGCTACAGTACGACGTTGGAAATATATTTCCGTCCTACACACACTGGTTGACAATGTTGTCCAGAATAATGCCGCTAGCTCCCTAGAAAATATTGTTGAAGAATCTCCCATGCAACTCCCAGATCCATCGCGTCACTCCACACCAAGCACACTTTTTCTTATCTTGCTGACATTTGTTGCGCGCCGATTCCATCAGGGAAACTCCCATATCCCGTTTGTTTCGTCAACTTTGCTTCACTTTGGCCACGACGAAACAGACTCTTGATATTTTGGGGATTGGCTCATGTACGACACAAGCTGTGATGGATCGGCTTTTTTTCTCGAGGGACATGGACGCGTAGTTTGCTCAACGGTTGGATACATCATGACTACCACCCCTTCCTTTTGTCCTCCTTCACATCAGGGAGAGTCTGGTCATGGCGAGGACGCATTAGAAACGTTTGCCTTGGTTGTGAGAGGAGGAAGCGACGAGGATCCATCCCTCACTACGCTCTTTATGCGAGTCCTAATGCCAGGCTTTAGACGAGACAAGGGCGGGGACGGGGAGTTGGACTTGGAAGGAGGTGGGCTGATGCGAAGGCTGAAGCGGTTGGTGTCCGGGGTGTTTCGGAAAGTGCGAGGGTCGCCGGTCCCCATCACTGAACCCAAAGGTGAGGAGAGTACTGCGATGACACTTTGAACGGAATTTCGACTCTCGGGACAACTGCGTACCAGAGAGTAAAAAAGTCCGCAGACCCGAGCCGAAGGCGAGATGCGCCCCCCGGGGAGGGCCCCCCGGGAGGGCCCCCGGAGGGCGCCGCCCGCGTAGGGCCCTTTCCGGAGGGGCTGCGGAGCGAAAAATTTGGGCTTTTTCCTATAAAAATCAACCAAGAACAGCCTAAAAGTGTCAATTATGTTGTTATCTACGCTTTTTATTAGCAGGATATGTCTCTTTCCAGCAAAAAAGGCCCCCAAAAACATTGTTCGCTTCCGGCGAAAGAAAAGGGCCGCAGTAATTTTTTTTCGCCTACGGCGAAAACATGCGGCCCAATTTTTTTTCCCGCGGCAAGCCGCAGATTAGTCCCATATGATCCTGCGCTGAGAGCAGATTTTCAAAAAAATCTGCGGCCCCGCAGGGCCGCAGACCCTTTTTTACTATCTGCTAGATACGGGCAGCCTCCCGGGGGCGTTGGCATCGCCATCTGTGTACAATAACTGCGCTTGTATTCCCTTTGGATGCATGAATGAAAGGTGTCTTCGACCTGGTGGAGAAAAATACGCACGGGGTGACTAGTTGCTGGAGTAGCCTGTCTTCTGGCTTGATCTATCCGCGTAGCTGACGCATTAGAGCAAGCGACTTGCGTTTGCAGTCGGCGCGGGTAGGGTTGTATCGTAGGTACGCGGAGGGCTTTAGAATTTTGGTCGACCGTGCGCCCAACTGATTGCAGATTGCAGGTGGTGCTGTCCAACCCTCTGCTATTATCTACAAACTCGGCTTGATGATTCCTGAGCCCTCAAATTGATCTCTATCACGTCTTTGCACAGCTAACTCGCCTGACCTGCCTGGCGCGCGGATGCGCGTCGGAATTCTTGTGGAAGGAAATTGTGAATTATCGCTCTACGTTAGCTAAGATCTCATCGGGGCGAGATAATTTCACCGAGGTGCTAATGTAGTCCGATTGTGTTGTAATTCGCCCGTAAGGTGAGGCAAAAAACGTAGCGACCAAGAAAAAGAGCAAGGGAAAAGCTAAGGGGGCAACAACTACATCCCACCTCGAGAAGACGTACCGTCCAGGGAACGCCAACTATCGGATACAGAAGGTATGCACTCGTACGCACCCACTCCAAGCATCGCGCAGCGCGTTCGTCTCGCTGCGTCGTGTGGCGACGTTGTTGTGGCACTTGCAAAGATGATCGGGAATCGCCCCGAGTTATGAGCATGAGCCTGACGGTGTCGTTTTTTCTGTGTTTTGTTCCCGCGCGGTACGCCCTCCCTGCTTGGCTAAGCAGCTGTAGAAAAACAACTTTTATCGTGTGGGACGTCTGAAAGGCCGGTAACCGCCTGGATGAATAAGGAGTGTATTCGTTCAACAGGGTTGGTTCATATGATACATATTACTCTGAGGTATCTATCCAAAGCAAGAACCGAAGCACGGCAAAAGTGGTTTGTCCTTTGTTGCTTTTTGGCCGACGATGACGTAGACTCTCCAAGGCGTTCGGTACTACAACAACGAGCCGAATGTCTGCATTCAATACCCCCCACGATAGGACTGATTGCTTGTAGGCATGGAGCAGCACGAAGATAAACCTGGCGCTGTTTCCCCCCATGTCTCACACCGCTTTATTTAGGAATTGAAAGAATTCATGGCCAACCCGCCTGATTGCTGCAAGGTCAGCGTCGGTAAGAACATCAGGTAAGAGGGCAGGGGAGAGAGGCAGCATGCTCATGGCGCACGGCTTTGCGTTCATGTCGTACATTTTCGGCCCTTCAGCATCAAATTTGGTAACCCCAACCATTGGTTGCTTGCGTTAAATGGCAAGACCCACCAACATCCGGCTCGATTTGTCGTTATGTCCAGCCCTGGTTTCCGACCGCGAATTCTCTTTTCCCGGTATCTGGTCCGCCCCGTGCATCACGTATTGATCGAATTGCTCGCGACGAGACGGATGGGCCCTCCGCGAAATGAAGCTTGCACTGCGAGAAAAGGACAATGATGTGATATGTCATGGTACCCAAGCCTGGCTCTCATGTTACCGTCTTGTAGACTCGAATGTAGCCTGCTCCACGCACGTGTATCACGTTGACCGCGTTTCGGAATAGCCAGCAAGGCATCACTCAAATTATGTCGTGAACTCAAGAGGTAGATTTCCTGTCTGAATTGAGTACGCGCAACATCATTCGCTGTTTTCTTCGCGGAAACTCCACCACAAACGTGTTTTTCACGACCTGCTGCCGTTACCCTCTCTCCTTGGCTGGCTCTTGTAGAGTATGGATCATCACCATCAGCGGGGCGGAAGGCACCATTTACGCAGGAGAGAAGTTCCGGCTTAGAGTATCCTTCCCCGAGGAGTACCCTACCAAACCGCCGGCGGTGTACTTCCTGCAATCTCCGCCGCCGCCGAAACACCAGGTTTGCCAGCCTTAGCCTCAACCCCATTTTATGTCATTGTACATGCTGTCTGCGGTTGATCAACCAGCCAAGTGTCGTCTCGGTTTCATTTAATCGACTTATGTTCTACTTGCGGCAGAGATGTATCAGCACCCAGCCGCGTGAATGGTATCACATTTATTTCGGTAGTTCCCAAAGTGACTGTGGACAACCTGAGCGCTTCAGAAACAAGCCACAAGTCGGCTTCTTAGGGTCAGCTCTATTTATTTTCCTGACTTCCCCAATACATGTACTTGGCATTGCCAATAGAAAAAACCGGCGTTTGCTATTGTTGCTCCTACGCCGTCAAGTGAACAGATCGTGTGGCATGTGTTTTGCTCCTTTGAAGAACATGACTATTATATCCTGCTGTGCCATAGGTTTCACATCGGCAATCCCCGCCTATTTCGTGACTTTTGTTGTCCTCTCGGTTCAATCGCATCCTATCGCCTTCCGCCGCCCGTTTCCCATCGTAGCACATCTACACCAACGGAGACATCTGCCTGAGCTTGTTGAGCTCCAGAGACTGGAAACCAAATCTCACCGTCATGTAAGTCATAAGGCAGACCAACGGGTACGCGCGCGGCATGTGCGCTGTGCGCATGTGCTCAAACACGCGGGCAATTGATGCTCGACGCCCAATCGCGGGATATTCGCACATGTGAAAGATCTTGAATCGGAAGGCAAGATCTGACGTGCGAATCTCGTTTGTGCCTTTGTTTTCGTTGCGGCTTGCGCGTCAATAATTTGTCAAGGTCTCTGGCGCTGAGCATCCTCAGCATGCTCTCTAGCGCCAAGGAGAAGCGCCTCCCAGAAGACAACGCTACACGTGAGTCTGCATGGCGGGCAGTGCGCAACAAGTCTTGATAGTTTCATGGCCAATGAACGAAGAATGGCGCAGCATTTTAGTCAAAGTGTACACAAGTGATTTGCGTCTTGAGTACAACTAGCCTCCCGGACAACGCCCTACCACCACAGTTTTTGCGGGTGCAGTTTTATGGAGGCGCTTGTCGTGACTGCCGACCCTAAAATCGTCCTGTGGTACGCCCAGTAGTTGCCGATGCTGTCCGTAACCTCCCCTGTCTTTTGGCGGAGCTAAATTTCATGTATCCCGTGGCAGGGAAGTCAATGAGCTGTGTTGCCCCTCTATTTCTCTGGCACTGCTCGCTGCGTCGCGCCTTTTTGATGCAGATGCGGAAGCGAGACCAGGGCAGGCTCAACAGTGGATATACCACGATGATCTGTGTTAGGCGTGGACCACAACATGGCCGGCAGTTGCGGCTCATCCCTTGAGCCAAGATCGTCATTTCCTGCTCTCGTCTCCTTGTGTAGTCTTGACGTGCTGCTCCTTGATGGTAAAAATGGCGGTGCGGTGCAGGGGTAATGACTCTTTCGTTGCTGACTGCTGTGTGCCCCTAGAATCACTCATCCTAGATATATATATATGTGGCACTCGGAGACACTGCCCGACCTGATATAATGTCGGGTGTATGCATACCTCATCGTGTAATGACGTACGTACCTACACCGGACATCTTTGGTCGAAAAGGCGATCGGGTCGGCTCTAACGCGATGCGACTTTGACTACTGATATGGTTGAGCACGTTGACCCCTGGGCGCATTACCCTTGTAACACCCGAGCAACAGGTTAAAGCCCCAGTAAGCTTTGTATAGCGCTCGATGTCACAAGGTACACCTAGGCCTCAACGGCATGAGCTGGTTCACCTTCGCTTCAGGACAAACTGTTGTCACCCCGGCACTAAACTGCATCTGTCCGGCCAGGGCGGTGGGTGGTTTGGCTCGCCGCCTAAACAAACGAATGCTTCCGCAAAGCGCCTGATCAACCCACGACCGAAGACCTCAAGACCGCACCTTCCGTTCGTACGCTATGCAAGTCTGTTGAAAAACACAAGAAAAGCAGCTGGCTTGATCTCTTTCCTTCGATGTTCCTTCGGTCTATTGTAAGAACCCATCCGGTGCGTCCAGAGGAGGTGGATTTCGAAGGCCCAACAAACCGTCTTTTCGGCGCTCTTCAGCCCGTGTTCGCGCCGCCTTGATATCCCACGGATCTCCCTTGAAGCATGAGCGGCATAAGATGTTTCCCGAGCCTCTGCAAGCCTTACACGTCACGACCACTCCGTACGTTTTGTAGCTCCCCAGCCCGTCGCAATTGTAACAAGCTTGCAATTCCGAGCCTTGGCAAGTGCCGCAAACTTCCTGCCAAAGCCGGGCAGGGCAGCGAGTAGCGTGTCTGAGTAAATCGTCTTGAATATCGATCTCCCCCCCATACCGGTGGAGATTGAAGTCGCAGGCGGGACTAGAAAGCGGTGTGTCACGATAGCCGTCTCGTCTCTCGTCCTGCAGCTCTCGTTCTTGGTACGAAATGAGTCGAATTACACCCATGATCGCCATCTTTGTCATGCTCGTAGGCCTGGAACGAGCTGTGCAATCGCGCGTTGATACCGGTGCGTTGGGTGGAAACGGTCCGGGTCTTGGCTTACGATCACGGAGTTTGGAGAGCAAGAATGAGAAGTCTAACCCGGAGCCTCAAGTTTCGGTTGCTCCGTAAAGCCGACCTTGCTTCGGCAGCAGTAACAGTCAGGGAAGACGATCGACGCCATTGAACCGCAAAGTTCTTCCTGCTGGCGCAAAGAGACTTAGACTACTGGGCTGTCATGCCTTGGTGGTCGACGCTAGAATCAGTGCATCTGTTACCACCATCGACAGCTTTCCTTGCGGTACACACACCTTTGCGGGGTTTCCGTCCTTGACGAAGGAAACAATGGCTTTGGCCGTCTCGTCCGGCTGCTCGAGGTGGGGGACGTGCCCGCACTCCTCCACCCATACCAAACGAGCGTCGGGCATTTCATCCACGAACCTGACCATACGACGAAGGGGGCGAGGTGCGTCGCAGTGGTGAGCTCATGCATCACGCAATGCGGTAGCAGAGACGTCGCAGTGACTGATACAAGACACCATGTGTTTGAATTTGTGACGGGGTGGTACAGTTTCATGCATCCCTCCGATATCTGGTCAGGCTCCATCCAGTCAGGACGACCAAGGCATTGTTGAGATTGACTCGAGTCGATGCTTACCTTTCCGCGTAAAGCTTAGGGTCCAAGATCTTATCTTGCCGGCCCCACAACACCAGCGTCTCCTGGTTGATACTCGGCACTTTTGTGCTGACAGCGAATCCTCCGCTCGACATGTACTGCAGAGAGGCGTCCGCCCAGCCGTCGCACATTGTGTGCAACCGCCCAACACGCACAGCATCTGATGAACAGCAAGAGCACGCGATGAAGGACGCGCGGAAAGCGTTAACATCTTACACTACACTAGAGAATTAGATCCAGCCAGTTCGCGTACCAACAAAAAACGGCACTGACTACAAGACAAGCCGTGTTCTCCGGAGGCAAATTTGATTAAGGGCTTTTGCCTTTTCCAAAGCGCTCTGTGTGCATTCCAATTCAAGCCCACCCAATTCTCTTACCTTCGGTTGCTAAGCTCTTGTCGGTGTAGCTCATCTGGTTCGCAAGGGAGCGTAACGGCTGCACACAGAACCGGAGACAAACGATCAGAGACGGGGCCGAGGTTGAGGTCGTACATGATCAAGATCGTTTACGCACTTCTTCAACCCTACAATATGATGCTTAGAACCCACCCGTCGTTGTCAGCGCCACGCAACATCTTCACAAGAAAGGTGGCATGCATATACGTACCTCACAACAAATCAACCGGGCATGTCGAAAGAACCCTGGTCGCATTGGTCTCTACTAGAGTCAAGCGGGTTATAGGGTGAGGAAACACGCACGGTGTACACCAAAGGTGTCTGGTAACATGTCTTCTTGGAGCTTTGGAGGTCAAACGCCAAACGTGGTGTCATCCAACCCACACCCAGGGACGATTCCGTCCTTACCTTGCTTCCCAAAACAGAGATACCAAGCTTCGCGAGGGGGCCAGGAAGAGACGCACCGGGTCCAGAGCCATCGATGAAACCTTGGGCGTCGATCAGTACAAGCTTCTTGACGGCTTCCGGAAACTCGTGCGCGAAGTCTAAGGCGATTGCACCGCCAAGAGAAGCTCCCACGAGAACCATCGGGCGTCCTCCCATGGCCTGTTGCCAAAACGCCTTCAGGTGCGTCCGTTTTGCTTCTGTGGGTCATGCGATGCCGACGTGAGGGGTGCAAGTTCGAACAAGTCCATGTGGAGGGGAAACGATACATACAAGCATGAAGTCTGGCGTCATCTGCATTCTGTTGGTGTAGTTCCTTCTCGCAGCTGCCAAACTAACATCGTTTGTAGGTTTGGGATTTTGAGACATTTGGAAATAGCCGACGGAATGCACCCGCCAAGGGGAAGTGCGTCCATCGAACTGCTTCAGGACTCAGATCTCCGAGGGCCTTCGAAAGGGGGACTTTTCAGCGGAGGGATATTTAAAACGAATTTCCAACCTCAAGTTTCGTAGTCCAGAACACGGGTGAAAAATGGTACCACCACAAACTTTGGGTGCAGCGACTTCAAGGACGATTTGTAGTGCTGTTGTGGTTGGGAGGGCGCTCTCGGTAAGGGACGCTGTCCTGCGTAAGGAACAAGAACGCACCTGCCCCGAAGGATTTGATCTCCCCTGATGCCAGATCCGTGAAGCCCCATCCTAGGACATCCACTGCGTACGCTTCGGCCCCCAGTTCTCCCAGCTTCGGCAACAACCTTCTAAACTCTAACAAAGACGAGTCGAACCCGTGCAACATCAGGATGGGGTCTTCTCCTTGCTTCCCGGTGGACTCATCGGTCTGAACAAAGTTCGTACCGATTTCGCCTTTCGCAACCGATTCCGGCACTTCCACGGGGAATCTTCGCATTTTTCTCGCAAGCTCCAACGCAGCCTGCACGCACGACAGGAGTGAGCGTTTGTTAGCAAATATCCTGGTGAATTACTGCTCTCAGCCTCAATTATTTGGATTAGGCCTCCGGCTCTGAGGTCGGAGGTCCCACAGATGTCTGCAATGATCCAGAGGCGTCAAGCCTTTTCAACATAGGCAGCAGGGCGGTTGGGGCGGTCTCGTAAACAGAAAATAAGGAGTAGTTCCTATCCAGCGTTTTCGCGGTAGCGAGAAAGACAATAATCAGCAGCATGCACATTTCAACATGCTATCGGGGCAGATACCTACATCCAGTTCTTGGAATTTGGATTTGTGGATCCGATCCACCTATAGTACGTGTACCAAAAAAAACTGACACCGATGTTCGCGCCGAACTGCTGTTTTTGGACAGCACGACGGGACAAGAGCCCAGTCAGCAGCAATGAGCCATACTTGGTGGAGCCTTCCACACAACGTAAGAGATAGAGCAATCCACCTCGGAGTAGCAAACCACCCTAGAATATTGTACGGCTTTGGCGGCGGCATCGAAGCTGCAGGGTTCATGTCGCAATTCTTCCACGCGCGAGCGGAACATGACGTGGCAGTTGCTGTGGTTGCATGTGCTCGCGGGTTCAAAATTTGAACAAAAAAAACTCTCCTGATCATAACTCTCACCGGTTCTTCAATATCTGACACTGCTTGGGGCACGTACTCGGGAAACGCTTGGATGCATGTGTCGCGCCGACTTGAAAGAGGTTCCGATCGATGGGAGCGCAGCACGGCGGTTTCGTGCGGGTGGGGCTCAGCTGCATGGCAGGGACGTCGTCGTCCGATCTCGCCCGCCAAAGGGACAAAACCTGGCACACCAGGCACTAGTAAAAGCGGTAAGAGGAGGCGCATTGCAGAGCTGATGATGAGTGCTCTTGGAAACCCGATACCGGACACTGGACCACGCACAACAAACTCCTTCACCCTTTCCCTTTACACTTTACACTCTACGCCTCTACGCCTCTGACACAAAGGCTTTCCGGTTCCCGGCTGGCCCGTGTTTTCGTCCTGACAGTCTCGCGCATTGTTCCCGTCGAACGAACCGTGGACCGAGACAATTTAGGCCGCATGTTGTTTAATCACGTGGCTCCTGGTCTTCATGTCTTCATCTCGAATCTCGAATCTCGAAATCTCGTCATCTCATCTTACATCTTGTTGCCTCTCTCTTTCTCTCCTGTCTTTCAGTTCGCGCGTGCTCTCTCTATCCCTCTTCTGTTGATCAATTATCGCGTGCTCTGCTCGGGGTAGGATCGATGCCTGACGACGACGAAGGATTTGTCTACTGTCCATCGTGCCAGAATGGGTTCCAATCTCCTCCGAGGTACTTTTTGGGAATGGATGTCGTTAGCCTGTGACGAGGGAAGGCGTCCGCGTCAGTTGGACCAGTACGGACGTTAGAAGGTACTAAGTGAGCAGAGGCCAGAATGGTTTTTATCGTTGAGACAACAACAACAACAACAATAACAGACAACGATGTCTGCCTCTTCGTTCAAGACAAGCATGTAGTCTAGACTTCAAGTTATTGTTGGCAAGTTGTTGGCAAGTTACTCTTCTTGCAGTGTATGCTATGCGTATGTTTGCACAACCCTACACACAACACTTGACACAACAGCTCGGATATTTACATGCCGGCCTTGATTGCATTTAGGCATCTGGGGATGACGACGTGGTGCACCACATGTGACGATCTTGGTACTGCTGCTGTTGTCTACTAGATAGATCTTACCCGACAAGTGTGGTGTTGTTGGGCATGATTATCGTTCTCCTGTAAGCCTGACATTTGCAGTGATCGCGATGCAATAAACTACAATTGTGCGTGCACTTGTGTTCTTTCCGGCGTGAAAACCACTCTTACGCAGCAACTCAAACTTTTTTGCATAATCTACCGGTCTTGACTTGATTCATTCATGCATCTCGGCGTTTACAATGTGGGGCACCACATGTAGTGATGATGTCGTGTAGGACACGATTCTCCTGCTCTCCGCCACCTGACGTGTGCAATGATCGCGATGCAATCTACAATTTTCTTGCTTTTCCGTCGTGCGCTTTTGACTCACGTTAGAGGAGATATGGCGATCGGGGGTGACCTCACATTCTCACACATTCCCAAGGTCCTGAAAGGTTGCTTGCATACGATCTGCCAGAATTGCGCAGAGGAAGGGCTTCAGCGGTCGAAAGATGGTTCATCGATCATGTGCCCGTTGTGCGGAGTGTCGACCTCCGACGTGACTTCTACCTCGGCTCTTCAAGACAACATCGTGGCTCTGCAAGATGTCCACAGGAAAAATAGTCATTGCGACTTCTGCGACGACGTCGCCAAAGCTTCTCATGTGTGCCATGAGTGTGCGAGCCTCCTCTGCACATTCCACATGACTGCCCACTCCGTGTCGAGAGGCACAAAATCGCACCGTGTTGTTTCCTTGAAAAACCGCGAGGCCTCCCATCGTGTTCAGATCACATGCGCTCGGCACAGGGACGTTGAAGCAAAGCTGTTCTGCTCAGAGCCTTGTGGCACTACCATTTGCCACAATTGTAGTGTCGCTGAGCACTCGGGCCACAGCGTGTTCTTTTCCGACTCAGCCGAAGTGGAACAAGTACATCGTGCCGGCCTTACCCGTCGTGGGGTTTCTTTGGGTCACAGGTGCGACCCCGAACGACAAAAAAAGAGTTGCACGTATAGTATGTGCACCCGTGAGAGCACTCGCGCCTACTGCAGCTAGTACGTACCAATAGTTGAGAACTGTTCAGCAAACGGCGTTTTCTGCACCAACCAGGTAAACCGTGCGCACAGCATATGCTTTGTTGGACTAGTCTAGCAGTTGAACTCTCGTACGTGTAGCGTGCCCTCTTCGGAGTAAATGTTTTAACGCACAAGAACGTGGGGTCGCCCTGACACGTTAGTCTATGGTCGATCTTTACTTATTTGTGTTTGCTGACAGATTAGCTAGAGTGCGCGGTGGGTTGGACGCGGTGGAGGCCGTCAAAACAGGGGTGGAGAAGCACACGCGGTTGGCCGAAAGCGCTACAGTGCAAGCCTTTTCAGCAATTCGTGCAGCTGTGGACTCCAGGGAGAAGGAAATTCTCAAGGTAGACTTGTCTTGGAGTGGTGTTGCTCATCTATCGATATACGGTGGCCTGCCGTGATCATGTCATGCACCTCACAACTTTCCTAAACAATTCTGTGCTTATTCCCCTGCATACGAACATTGTGTCTCAAACCGTTGCCAGAATTTGCGAGCTGATCGGGCACAAAAAACCCAGGACTTGAACGCACAGTTGGCAAAGCTGGGGCAAGTTATGAGGGCATACGAAATTGCTTTAGACTCTACGAACACGAGTCTGGAACGCCTACACGGTGACCAGTTTTTGGCGATGGAGCCGACTATACGCGAGTGCTTGGATGCACGTGAGGCAGAATTTCCGTCACTAGAGCTTACGCCATGTGTCGAAGACCGCGTGGAATTCGAGCACGATCGAAGCATCGCCAACGCTCTCCGCCAAGGAATCTCTCGGCTCGGATGCGTGGTAAACGCAGTACGACCAAGAAAAAAGAAAGAAAAATCAACGGCACCCGAACAAGAGCTTCATGCGTCATCGACACCAAGCGAACACAATATCCATTTCTCTTTGGCAGCAATCGTCGGGGCCCGCCCTCAAGAAGCAACACTCGCGAGTCCTACCGACAAAGTTATTGTCGAGATAAGGAGCGGTTCGGAGCACGACTTCCTGAAGAGTGGAACTACCGGTCCTGTGATCGGCAGGGTGGCGCTCCACACGAAGTTTAAAGGTGCCAAGCATCTGGCATACGAAACGGAACATTTCTTCGAGTCTCTATCACAACGAGCAACACCTACACGGCAGTCGCGGAAGCAGCAGCATCAGGCGGAGAAAGAGCGGCAAAAACAACCAACACCTTCACGCGACGGCGATTGCGTGCCCGCCGTCCGCTTCACTAAGGTGTTGCGCGTTTTCGGGCGGCGAGGGGAAGGCTCGTCTTGAGGCACGCATGAGAATATACAACGTTCGAGTCAAGAAGTCGCCAAGAGACGTAATATCTACACTTGCAAAGGGTTTAGGGCGCTGCGGCACGCTCCCGCTCGTATACAGAGGACCAAACGCGCCTCTAACGCCGAAGAATGATCAGTGCGGGCGGTTTGTACGTACAATCTGTGTTCTGTCGACTGCAACCACCTTGGGGGTAAAGATTTAGACAGGACACGCGGGCGTGTGTGTGTGGAGACCTTCCGCGAAATGCAAAAAAGCCATGATCATCTCATGGAGATGCGAACTGCGCGGCCGTTGGGGTTGGCGGCAAAAAAAGGTGCACACTCACTGTGTTGCTGGGAGCAAGGGACATGCGCGTCAGTAAGTCGCATGCGCATGAAACGAGAGGGCCGGAAACATGAAATGCAGACGGGTGTATGACAACAGAAAACACGCAAATCTTCAAAAGGCTGTAATCTAGCACAGCAACGGGGTACAAGGGATACACCACCAGCGGACCAGCTCACAATATATAGGGCTGAAGGTGCTCATAAAGTCTGGTACGAGTTGCTGTGTGTCGGAGCACAAGCATGTCCCTAACGGGATCGGTGACCGGGAAAACATTGCAAACGTCGGTAAACTCACCACGGGCACATGATACAAACTCACAAAACTACCAGACGGCGAGAAGACGGGAACTAGAACCGTTTGGATGAAGCTACGTTAGGGATTGACGGATGTGCTAGAGAAACGATGTTGGCGCAGCGTGCTGGGGCCTCGAGACGAGAAGAAAACAAAGCAGATCAACAGTGCATGGGGTCACGCCGATACACTTCGACGACCTACACACTTCATTCAGCTCAACTAAGGCATACAAGACTACATACAGTAACAACAATGACACGGAAACACAAAAAACAACAATCGGAAATAATACACTTACGGTTGCGTAGCAACAACCGCCACATGATGAATCTGGCAAACAACCAGAACCTGCCGTACTTGCTAGCAAATTTCCACGCGGTCCGAAATCCTGACCAAGCCCTCTGATAAATATCAACTGGCTGTGAGTGCTCCGTCTCTTGGCGACTGGCTTTGGGAACTCTCTAACCTTGACACAATGCAAAACCAAAAAAAAACACGTGGAAGTAGGTTCATGCATTGTGCTAGATTGGACCGTCGCTCTTACGGATATGGACCGGTCAACCAAGGGAAACACGCGACAGCCTGCAGTGCTGGAAAGTACCATGGTACTTAAACAAGGAACGAGGACCCAGAGGGTCCTACAAACGACCCACATATACACACGTCTCGATGAGGCGACCGAAACTTCACCCGGAACTACCAAGACCTAGAAAAACGCTGAATATTCCTCGTCAACACGCAAGGAGAAGTTTTCTTCGCCTTTTCTTTGGCCGTGAAGGGTTTTAGGTTCAATGTTCACCCCAACATCCATCGTCCCGAGATTCTTCCGGCTGCAACCCATGAGGCCTGGCTCTCGACCTACGAGGCACAGTGATGATGACAGCCCAACACTGTTGGTGACAAGATAACAATGGCCCCCCTTCAGAGCTCCAGTGCCGTGTCGGCCCCGCCCGACCGCTGTAGCAGTGTACAATGATGACCGGTGGTGAGCCGCCTCATGTTAATGGCAGCCCCGCATCGCTTCCGGCAGGGAGTGGTTGCCCCACACCCCAAAACCAATCGCCTCTGTGTCATCATGTGTTGATCGTTGATCGTTGAGGTCGACATCAACGTTGCACGGAAAACAGGACCCACCGCATTCGTCAATGGGTGCACCGAAACGGGGGAGGATGGAAGAGCGATTAACATGATATTGGACACGTCGAAAGAGGTAAAAAACAGGGGGCCGGGGGCTTGCACAGTTGGTCTGATCTAACAAACGCCTTGTGATGTACTGCCACGACTACATGTACTTGATTTATGTTGTCACGAACATGACCGCCAAAATCGACGAAAAAAGCTCAAAACGCTCAATACAACATCGACCGACAAGGGCGCCCACCACACAGTATTTTTCAAGTTAGTCCTCTGTCACACAAGGGTGGTCAGCCCGCGCTTACATCCTTGTGTGGTACCAAGGGAAGGGAAAGTGTGCAAGGCGCGTGCCCTTCCGACACATTCGAAAGTGATGAAAAAACACGACCCTACTTCTATATCAACTTGCTGCCCGTCGAGAAAGAGATGAACACGTCAATTCCGATGGGATGGCTAATAGTCGTTGTACAGGTAAGCGTCGATGTGTCTTGTCGTGCCTGTCGTGGTTTAAGCAGCCGAGCCTCGACGTTCTAATGGTTTCTCGGTCCTCCAGATGGGGGAATATTCCAGTATTCAGAACAATCGAGGGCTTGGTGTAGGGTCTTAACATTCTCAGCAGCCTCACACCGAAAACCCGCTCTTCGCAACGAGTGCCGAAAGTGACTACAAGTACAAGGATGTTCGTTCGCTCACCTCCGACGAGCACCGCCAAGAACAGTCCGCTGTTGTATGTCATCACCTGAAAACAGAGCACGAAACGAAATTGAGGCAGGTTACCAACAGATGGACACAAGACACGGCAACAAAATGCTGGCGCACGACGCAAAGCCATAATCACAGCGGCCAAGCATGACAATGGGTTCATTTGAGCATTGTCTGGTAGTTTTGACCTTGCCGGGCAGTATTGACCTTATCCAGTGCATTTCTACCAGAAACTGGTAGTACATAGTGCGGGATTTGGGGTCCTGGCACTCCAGCTATTTGCTTGTAGCTGCATTCGGGATTCCATGAGGGAACGTTCTTATATCTAGGTGCCCGAAAGAACACCGAGAGTCCGTCGTACATAGCTTCGCGATCGACCACCACTGCGCTAAACTGAGCGACTGAGCCCCACGAGCTCTTCAAGCGTTCCGGACGACACAGCGGTGTGGAGAGTAAGAGACTTGCTGGTTGCGGTCAGCAATCCGGATGCGTACATATTCTCGTGCAGATGCCCTGTCTCTGATCAGCACTCTGCTACACACAGACCGTATGCTTGGCAACACATCGGCGCAACTGTGCCGAGCGCCCGGCAAATTCCCCCCACATACACAAGACGCCGGGATATGTATAAATGTGAAAGGCGGCGCCATTTCCTAGTCGGGGACTCCTCAGGAAAGCTGGTGGCACATAAAAGCGCTCCTTTCCTGCGTGAAGACTCACCACCAACATTGATAAAAGGGAGAGCGCGGCGCCCGTTGTGGACACCATCGTCCAGACGAAGCGGGTCCATCGGTTGATCCTGTCAACACCAAAACGACCAGCTTCAGAGATCAAGTCGACTACACGAGAGCAGATATACGCTACAGGTCAGTGATCCTGTCGAACGCCCCCGCAACAAGTGCTCTCACTACCTCTACTTCATTAGGAAAAATAAATACGCACACAAAAGACTACCCGTTCACTACGTTCAACTACGTTCAAGACGCACGAATTCGAGATCTCGCCCTGCGTCTTTCAAGAGCTTGTCGACAAATGGACGTTTGGCGAACAAAGTGAGAAACGAGTCAAGGGGTTTGCACAGAAGCAGCTTGATTTGGACTGGTTGAAAAAATAACTGGGAACTACCTTTGAATCTATGCAGCAATGTTCAGCGTCATGTCCTTTTCATGGGCTCAATGCTCAGCTATCTCACAGCATCGCATTCCCATAATATCGAAACCTTGTCGGATACGGACGCATGAGTACCATCGAGGCAAACAAACAGTCGAAACGGCGGGAGCTGCAAAAGGGGCGTGGTGTTACCGAACTCCCGACCAGACATGATAAATCAGCACCGGACACCGTGCTGTCGGGACTGCCGTGCTGTCCCAGGTCATGTGGGGTATGTGCTGCGGTTCAAAGTTCGAGCAAACTGAGCTCAGACCATACGTCTTTGCTGCACCATTTGTGCCGCATTCGCCGTCCCAGACGCGAGCAGTCTCCTATATGTATTGCGAGTCTACAGCATATTTTAATAGCTCCTTGCCTTGGACATCCCGCGGTTCAGGAGACCGGGGCTCGTGGCGGCGAGCGAGGCGGTGTCAAAAGTTTGTCTTTGGATCCAGATTCGAGGAGTACTTCAAACCAACTGCAGTCTTCGGTATCACGAACCCATGAACAGATCGTTGCTTCCCAGACGGTCTCTACTGATAAACTTGTTAACGCCGGCACCCTGTGAGACGAAATGTGGTTTTCGATTTATCTGACGCTATGAATTCATTGCTAATCTGTCTCAGACTCTCTTCTATGATAGAGATGGATTCGTTGTGTCATATTCAGAAAAAAAAAAAAAAAAGTGCATTTTTTTACGGAAACTGGTCACCGCGGTACAAGTTGTACAGTTAACCACATCATGGCACGTCGGGCCCAGTTTCGTTTTCTTACTTTCAAGTGTTCCTTAAGCTTGTGGTCACCGCACAACAAACGTGCGCGACACATTCACCGAGAATCACGTCCGTCAACAAAAACAGTCGAATAAAAAAAAGGGTGAAAGCCAGACAGCATAAATCCACTTCATTCTAGGCAGGCTTGCGTGGCCTCAAGACGACGACGTAAGTCCAGCGCTGCGCCAAGTAATTATACCATCAGCAGAAAGGGCAGGCAACAAGCAAGCGCCACCTTCCTCACCAACAGAGAAACGATGGAACTCAACGGTTCAACAAACAACACAAGAAACCAACCCCTACTGTACGCAACAGGCCACAATATCAAAACCGCAACACCTTCTTCGTAAAATTTGTGAATCAAGCCATGTACCAAGGAGCAACGAACAGACAAGAGAAAAATACCAAACATAAGCATGCATGCAACGCGATGCTGCATCAACCGAGGTACTCGACATAAACATAATAACTGAACTCGTTGAGTCCGGGTAACAGAGAGTGTGGTAATGTTATACGGTAATGTACCCGCGGTAACTCGAAAGAACGGGAATTGCAAGTGTTGCGCGGTAATTTTTTGTACAGTAATGGGAAAACTCAATTTGTTCGTAAACCTTTTAGGCGTTAATGATAACTCTCATTTTTCACGGGATCACGGGAAACGGTAATTACCGTGTTTTTCCGCAGTAAAATTACCGCGGAGAAATTAACGAGGACAGCCCTGAAAATAACAGGTTTGGCGCCCTCCGGCAAAATTCCGAAATAACAGGTTTGGAGCAGCTGGTTTGGAGCCCTTTGTACTCCACGACGAAGATGACGCCAAAATCAAATGATGCTTTTTCGTACAAGTTCTCGGCGAGACGGTTCCAACGCCGTCATTTTCGGTACCGCTACTCTTTCTACTGTGGTGTACTCGAGCGTTGAAATCGGTCCAGGGGGTGTGTGGTATCCAGTTTATCTAGGTTGCATAGGAGTATATACCATCACGCATTGCAGAGGATTGGAGAATATCTTGATATCTGCGTAAATGGATCCTCCTGTCCTGCTTGACCGGTGTCCTGAACGATATGCCCAATAGGTACAGTTGGTGTAAAACTGGACGTCCAGGATGTCGTGCATACATTCCTGTTTGTTACCCCACTATTCCATCGATGCCTTTTGGACTACAGCTGCTGTTGTTGGCAAGCCGATCACCTCGCTGTGCAGCAGTGCAGCAGTACAAGTTGTTGTCGCATCATCACACACCCCAGAGGAAAAACAGCGGAGCAATAACGTCTGTGCTGCACATATAGCAAAATACTGCACTCACGGAGGCCGTCCACTTGAGTTCTCGAATCCGTTCCCATCGAGGAGGGCTGTATTTCTTGAAGCGGAGCCCCTCTTCGACGATGTCGCGGTAGAGGTGGCGATCGCGAACGCCCAATGCCTTGCGACGCTTAGCAGTATCACGGGAATACAACTCAAATAAAATGCCCAACACGTGTTGACCGTCCACCAACCGAAGACCAGCTCGCCAACATCACAAGTAAAGGAGAAGCTCATGTTCATTGAGGACATGTCGTCATCCATTTCCATGATCCCGAAGCGTATGTGCACTGCTGTGGAAGGGTCTGAGGTGCAATGTCCCGATATGTGGTGAGACCTCCCACACCCAGGAGCTGGGTGTACTTGATTTTGGGTGGGGGGTGCGATTCCCAGGATATCCTGTCCGCAGACCCTCTCCGCGCTCGTCAAACCAAAGTTAGGTCTGTTTCGCGAACATACTCGTTCGCTCCTCCAGCCGCCAGGGTATTGTCTGGTGCAGCTCATTGCTGCGGCCGCGACGGACTGGCAAGCAAGATGTCTGCTCTGCAAGGAGAAGCGCACTTCTTCGAGGAGTCAATGAACCCAATGAAGGTCAAGGAATACCTTGGACGACCGAAGGTGTGCACAACAGCAGCGGAATTGCTTTTTCTGTTCGTACACGCCGTGCACCTGAGCCATCCTTAGCTTAGATGATCGTGGTTTGGCGATGATCATTTCGCACCACATTTTCCGTATCCCTACTCCCTACCATTGAGTCCATTTTTTATCAGTGGTGACGAAGCGTGCCCCGGTCATCGAACATCCAACCTGTGTACGATTCACCCGCAAATATATATATGCGGTGTATCCGTGACACACGCATGTATGTTTGTGCACATCCTCGCTTGCTCCTTACTGCGAAACTCCACCACCAGGATGTCGACAAGCTAAAGGGGATGAAGTGGCTGCTAGCGATGGTTAGCAAGGGGCGAGACGTGAGCGAGTTCTTTTCGGACGTGGTGAAAAACATGGCGGTCCGCTCTGTTGAGGTGAAGAAGATGGTGTACATCTACCTTGTGCACTACGCCGACAACGACGCCCAATGCCGCGAGCTGGCGCTCTTGTCCATCAACTCTTTCCAAAATGATCTTCGGGGATCTAATCAGGTGTGTTTGTGATCGGTGTGCGAGAAGAAGGGCTCGAGCGTCGATTTAACAAGCAGAGAAGAGCTGCCGGCGCAACATTCCGTCCATCGTTGGAACAGATTCGGAATCGGGAGTGACTGAGCTTGGCTTATTTTTTTACCTATTTCGTGTGCGACACACGCCGCCTTGTCTTCGCCGCACATGTCCTGCCTGTGACCTTTTTCGCAGCTCATCAAAGCGCTGGCGCTTCGGGTGATGACTAGTATCCGTGTCCCGGATATCATCCAAATACAGCTGGTGAGTCATGTCACTTGCTTGCGCTGGTGCCCCCGCCCCGAGATTCGGGCGTCGTCACGATTGTTTGTTGCCGTAGATGCACACTCGATGCATACGTTTGTGAATTCCGCCGCTTTCTTTCCCGCAGTCAGGGCCACACGGTGAGGGTGGATAGAAGCTGAACAATCTTTGTGGCGTGAAGGCTAGAGTATAATTTCCAAAACCATTCTTAAGATTCGATAAATATGTCATTGTTGAATATGTAGCGGTTGACCCTAATGAAGACTGCGACATTTCGTCCCGCCTGAGATTCAGCCTTTCCCCCTTGACACCCAAACGCAGCTGGCAGTTCGTGACTGCGCCGCCGACAGCTCTCCCTACGTTCGCAAGTGCGCGGCGAATGCCGTCCCCAAGATTTTCGTGCTGGACCCAGAGCAGGCCCCCCAGCTTTGGCAGGTGAGACCACATGGACGGACGGGCTAGCGAGCTCAGCTTGTTCGTGTGTTTCAACTCGCGTTGTTTGCTCGTAGCCCCGTCATCGTCCGGCGTGGGGATGGACAAGTTCGGTAGTCGTTCATCAAGACGACTTTCTTGCTTTGGTTCTCTTTGGTTCGCCTTGGTTCGAATGCCCCAAGTTGTGCCAGCTGCACATAGTGAGGCGATGCATCTGATCTTGATGGTCGTTTTTTGACCGGAAATTTTTCCCCTTTTCGCTTGCAGGTGGTGGAACAGTTGCTCAAGGACAGCAACACGATGGTACTTGGAAGCGCTGTCGCAGCTTTCACTGAGGTTCGTATTGCGTTGTATGGTCATGCTGACTGGAATGAACCCGTCCTAGGCAAGGCAATTTCTCAACTTTCTTCCCTCAACGTGCGGGCGGGTGTCTCCTTGCTTGGTCGTGAGGGATGAATCTCGTTCTCATATAAAAAGTCCCCGTTTCTGCTTTCTGTTTTGTACTTGCTGACTCGAGAACAAAGGTGTGTCCGAACAAGTTCGAACTGCTACACCCAGTCTACCGAAAGCTGTGTCACTTGCTGGCCGACGTAGATGAGTGGGGGCAGATGGCTATGCTGGCGGCTCTCCAGCGGTATGTGCGCAGCCACTTCACTAACCCCCAGGGCGGTTTCAGCGATGCAGGGGGTATCAGCAAGCCTGCGGACTCAAACTCAAACCAGCCTCCCCAAAAGGTGAGCACTCATCTACCGATGATTCCACTCCGCCACCTTACGCGTAGGTTATAGTCCAGCCATGCTGAGACCAGACGGGTGCATATTGACGACTTTTGGCGGATACGCGTACTGTGCGGAAACACGAATGCCCCGTCCACCTTCCTATTCGCCGTCAACGGCGATCCTCTTGCGTTGCATTGTATTGCATGACATGGCATTGCGCGATACGGCCCCAAGGTGAAGCGACGTGTGGTGAAACGTGCCTTCTACTCTAGCGAGGAGGACGAAAGCACGGAGGAAGAGTTCGAAGAGAAAAATAACTCCGTCGCTGCACCTGAGGTGAGTCCTATTGCTTGTGCAGGTGCTTGTGGCATGGCAAGTATCAGTACGCTATTACGCAACAAGCGTGAACTGGAACTCTGCGAACCTTTTCCCTACGGGAATTTGCGGGGCTGGGAGAATCACTAACTCTGGGAGCATTTCTGATTCGAGAAGAGAGGCCACACGTCAATGTGCGAACCCCTATTTATGACAATATAAGAGAAAACTCCCGCGCCCATCTATCATTCGCAGGTGGGTTCGGTGTTCACGACGAGCGATGCTGATCTTGGCGCGGACCTGGACCCGGACCATCGCTTGCTCCTCAGGTTGGTCTACAACCCTTACCCTTTGCGACACTGATATGCACATGGCGATTCTCTTGTGCTCTCCTCATGGCATCATTCACACATGCGAGACGAACGTGTTGATCTTGATGCTGTGTGCTACTCTGCTATGCGCCGCAACTCCTTGGTCCAATGCGCAGTCCATTTGCAGGCAGCCCTGTTTTATGGAATCGTCACTTCTTGTTGGTTCTTTCTTCGGGGAAATACTCGCACGCTCATATCCGCCTGTCTTACGACGCCCATGTGCAGGTGTTCTCTGCCTCTACTCAAGTCGCGCAACAGCGGTGTAGTGTTAGCGGTGTGCACGGCACATTTCTACTGCAGCTCACGAACTGGCAGCACCATGAATCAAATAGCGAAGGCGATGGTGCGCATCCTTCGGAATCGCCGAGAGATCCAGTTCGTGGTGTTGGACGCCATCAGGTGAGGCATTCCCCGCGCGGGGGTGTGGCTCTTATGTTTTTGTGGGGTGCTTTGGTGCGTTGGTTCCTTGATCACGCCTGGTTGTTTGTGTTTCGCACGGGATTTAGTACGGTTTACATGGCCAAGAATGGTGGTGTACTGCACTGTTGTGTGACCCTTTGCATGACATGATGTTAAGCCATATTCAACACGCGAAAACACGCCCGACCTGTTACCATGGTGACGTTTCTTGCTCACCGTCTACATTTTCCCGCCCTCTTACCACCATCACTATCTTGTCGCGATTGGCTCACAGAACGATGGTGGCAGATAGCCCGTCGGTCTTTCGGCCCTTCCTGCAGGAATTTTTCGTGAAGGCGGCAGACCCGTTGTTCACGTGCACCCTGAAGCTGGACGTCCTCACCGCGCTTGTGACCAAAGAAAATTGCGCCACCATTCTAGGAGAGCTGCAGACCTATGTACTCCACAGGGACAAGAGTTTCGTGTGCGCTGCGGTGCGCGCGGTGGGGCGTGTCGCGGACGCCAGGCCGGAGGCTGCGGATCAATGCTTGCACGTGAGTGAGACTATACATACTGAGTATTGGTTAGGAGCTCAGCCTAAAAGTTGAAGACTATGCAGCTCCATTTGTTCCGGGCGTTGATGAAGTTTCTCCTTGAACAGCAATCATCACATCGATGCTGTTTCGAGTTTTGTTGCTATTACACGGGGTGCAGTAGACGGCCACTTTTTTCTCCGACACAGTATGCATATATCGATCGCAATGTTCGGCGAAAAGAGCTACCCTCAGCCTTTTTTCGTTTCGTTCCGTCACCCGCTCTCTTACTATACTCCTCAGGGGCTTCTGACGCTCGTTACGTGCAGCAAGACGAGCGTGGTGGTGGCTGAGGCGGTAATCGTGCTGCGGCAGCTGCTCCAACAGAATCCCAACTTCGAGGGCTCGGGGGACGTGGTGCGACGGCTCTCGGTGCTTCTTCTGCAGTCGTTCCTTGACCCTTCGCTTGAAGAAGAAAAGGGTGGAGGCAGAGCAGGCGAAAACGACCAGGGCGGCGGTAACGCCCTTGCGGTGGCGAGTGCAGCCAGGGCCAGCCTCGCACAACCCGGCGCCAGAGCATCCATAATCTGGACCCTCGGTGAGTATCACCAGCACATTTCGGGAGTCGCGCCGGATGTTTTGAGGGTGCTGGCGAAAGCTTTCCCGGAGCTAGAAGAGGAGGTCAAGATGCAGGTGCGCGGTGTCGGCCGTCTTTGTTCTTTGGATGGGCGTAGGCTGTCGTTTTGGACGTCAGACTGTGGTGCCTACTTGTTGCACATAGGTAGTATTACACACTGTTTTTTCGATAACATTTCGCTGCAGGAATTGATTCGTCATCTTGATTGTATAACGTTGGACCGTTTGGAGAGCAAAGCCCGACCAACCAACGAGCGTGCCCTGCACTGCCTTGTCTACACACATGCGCAGGTCCTTAACTTCTCGGTCAAGCTTGCTCTGCGACAAGCGGAGGACACGCGAGTGCAGTCACTGGCGTCGTTTGTGCTCGAGATGGCCAGGTTTGACCTATCGCACGACCTCCGGGACAGGGCTCGTTTCATGACGGCGATGCTTGGGCTAGCTACTGCTGACGAAGGGGTCGACGAGGCGGCCTTGTTGGCGCTTCACGCCAAGGCTGGACAGGTACGGACTTATAATAGAGTGCATCGCATGTGCTTCAGATATGAGCAATGTTGTGTGGCGCGATGGGGGCGGGGATTACACCCTTTCTGTGACGCACTCGTAATTTCTGCGTCCCCGCTTGTTGTTTGGGCGTTTACTGCTGCATCAGGTGCTTCTGAAACGCCGACCACCACCGGTAGCAGACGGTGGCGGGAGCGGGAGGTCCACAGCCCAGGCAGGGTCCCACCTCGTGCTCGGTACTCTCTCCGCCATCGTCGGCCACCCCATCAACGGATACCTCCCGATTCCTGATTGGTGTAGCGTGCAGCCGGACGGTTCGGCGAGAGAACCTCCGAAAGAGGAGCCACGAGCATTGGCACCTCCCACTCGCAGTAGCGGTGGCAAGGGTAAGGGGCGTCAGGTCAACAGCGATTTCTACTCTGGAAGTGGCAGCGGGAGCGAGAGTGAGAGTGAGAGCGGCAGCGGCAGTGGGAGCAGTCCCGAGAACAGCTCGGAAGATGGATCTGAATCGGACTCGTACGATTCAGCTTCGACATCGGGAGGAGAGGAGGAGTCTGGGTCTGAAAGTTCAGACTCCGAAGAGTCGGGATCGGGTTCTGAAGAATCGTCCGACGACGAAGACGATGAGTCGGACTCGTCTGTGGGAAGTAGCAGTAGTTACTCCTCTTCGGGTGATGACAGCGAGAGCAGTGGGACCAAGGGGGAGGAGGGGGTGGGCCTCCTTATTATGGGGCCACGCTCTTCGACCAGCAGCGCTGCCGCCACGACGTATGGTGCCAGCGCGCCCGCTCCCCATACTCAAGATCTGACTGGCCTCGTAGAAAGAATGAGCGTCGCCGATAGGGAAGACAGCGCCTCTCCTCGATTGGGAGTGCCAGCAGGGGCGGGGTTGGCATCGCTCAGCACGGCGGGGATCAGAGGACCGGTGGCTCCTGCGCTGGGCGCTGCCGGAGCCATATCGCTGGGGCGAACGTCATCCACAAGCTCTGTCCTAAGCGCTGATCCGGAGGGGGACACAAGCGCTTCGTTCCCGTCTACGCTGTTGCGCCATCAGGCCGGCGGTGGGCTGCAAGTGGACTACCGCTTTTCTCGCGGAAGGGCGAGCGCCTTGTCTCGGCCGTCCACAACCCTCACTCTACGCCTGTCGTTCACTAACCACGGCGAGACGCCGGTGCGACGCATCCGCGTCGTCACCCCGCGAGACGGAACGCCGATGGAGGCATTTCCGGAGATGCAGATGTTGCCAGCAGGGGCCACGCAGACCGCGAACTTGGGCATTGACTTTGGCGGCAAGGCGAAAGATGTGAGTGGAGGCAACAAACATCAGCGCGGCACCACAGACACACCCGTACCTGATGGATGGGAAGTATGAGCAGTTGATTTTTCCGGTTTGTATGCATACGGTGGAGGCAAACATGTACTTTCGCGGCACCACTCCATGCTGCCATGCTACTGAGCTTGACCTTGGAGAGTAGGATGACTCTAACTGCTCTCGTCTGGCATGAATCCAAATGATGCCGTTGCTTTACAGGTTCGTTTCGAGTTGAAGACAGACAAAGGCAGCTTCATGGTTTCTCTCGAGCCTCCTCCAGAGGAGCTGCTGTTCCCAGAGCCAGTTTCGAGGGCAGAGTTCCGGCGGGTTCAGGGTTCGCTCGGTGCACTTGATCGCGACTCAGTGGATTGCCAGGTGAGCAAAAGTAGAAAATACGGCCGGCCGATGGTATATGCAGCCCATCACCCCATTGAACGGCGGTTCAGTAGGCCGGAAGATCTCAAGCAAACGTGCACTTGATTCTTGTGTGTCCTGTTGGTCCCGCCGTGCTCGTTATCTTCTATTTTGAAACAGATCCCAGCCGCCGACATATCGAGAGTTCCATCGCGTGTTCTCCGGGCAGTGAATGCGGCGGTGGTGGCGAGTGACACCGTCGAGGAGTCGTGTTGGTGGTTCTCGGCGTGCAGCCTGGCTGGATCCATGTCGGAGCGTGTTTTCATCAAGGTCGCCGCCGACGGTGGTTCGGGGAAGGTTGTGGTCAACGTGTACTCAGACAACACCATGTTGCCTTCCAAGTTAACGAGACCCATCAAGAAAGCTGTAGAGGAAAATTGTCGGTAAAGAAGCACAGACAGTTGCTTTCAGGTGTTGATTGAAGTTCTAATCCCGTTTATCTTGGAAGGTGAGGCGTGCTAGAGTTGCGTGGTGATGGTGTGTGTTGGTATTTGGGTACGTCGTTACTTTTCCTGGGTTCGCTGGCCCACCAAGGTGGAGATTGTTTATCTATGGTGTGCAAACAAAAACGGTGTCCGCTACACAAGCGTAGTCCGAAAGGGGTCCGGTAGCATGCCGCCTTGGCGAAAGTAACAGTGGTTACGGCCGTCAACCTGCAGATTTCAAAAGCTGCGTTTCACTACGGCCGATACGTTCCATCCCCCGCTCGAGGTGCTTTTCAGCGCGACAATTCTACCCTCGAAGATCCACAGAGGGTCCGAGGTATCGACAAACGCCTGGCTTGACTCCAAGCGGCGTCAAGGTTTCGATTAGCTCCACCGCGTCCTCCGTCTGTGACGGAATCTGTATGGTGCGCGTGTAGTGGAATGCGCACAACAAGCGAGACATGAATAGGGAGTTGGGGTACATTTTAGAGCGATGCTCAGGTACCGCATACTTTGATGTCGTGGCCAACCCGTTGCTGAAAATACTTCCGGCATTCAAAGCTGCGTTTGTGTCTTGAGATTTTTCCCACTCTCACCTCCTTGTAGTACCGTGTATTTCTTGGACCAACGTGGACTTCGAGAAGAGCGGAAGGCTCTAGCGCTTCTATTCGCCTGACGGTTTGAGGTCCCGCTCTCCAACAGGCCTCACGGGATGATTCTTCTGGGGTCCTGAGTGCAACCTGAAGATCGTACGGGACGGGGGAGTTGATCAGCTTGACTCCATGCAGCCGATCCGTTGGTTGGCAGTCACAGAGCGCTCGTCGTTCTCTTTCCGCGGAGAGAGGTAGTCTATCTACACCATACCTACAGAATTCCGCATCTGCAACGGAGTACACACCACAGGGGTTCAGGGCCCAATCTTACTGAGTTGGCAACAATGCATGACTGGTCGCTGGCGTGCCTAGTCTCTTGTGTAGACACAGCTGTCGTAGATGGTCATGGGACAATGTACCACGATCCGATGGCGTCAAGACAACCCGGGGTAGGTATTCCCTATTTGCGGACGCACATGAGCACTGCTGCCCTTGGCTTCTGCCCTTCTCCGGTCGACCCAGAAAGGGCAGTCCCACATTCGAGGGCATCTCCCTCCCCTGCACACACAGTCGCTCTCCTCGCTGCCTCCCACTGCCCAGCCATCCGCATACGTCGCCTCAAGCTCCTGTTGCTCCAGCTTCCGCGCATTGTCTGATGAGGCCAAGTTTGCGAGAACAACGGAATCAGGCCCGTACTCCCGTACTGGGTACGTGCATGGGGTAGTTTGCTTGTAATGTACCGTTAAAGTTCAGAACAACTGGAAATTGATCCCATGCAGGTTGGTTTCATTTCTCTTGTTGGGTGTACAGCAATGAGAGCCTCACCAGATCCTTGGAGCTCTGCATCACAGATGCTCAAATTCCCGAAAAGTTGCCTCGAAAAACTCCGAGCTTCGTGATATCGGTGCCACTCGAGCTTGGTGCCTCCTGAAAGTGTCCAACAGGCAAAAGCAATGAGAAATCCATTTGTAGACCTTTACAATAATGGCAGTTCCCGGGCCTAAATCTAGAATCCGTTTGTAGACCTTCGCAATGGCAGTTCCCGGGCCCAAATCTAGAAATGCAGACTCGAATGAAATGGGACGCCTTGAAACGTGCTCACTGACAACACAACGTAGCCATTCCACCAGGTACAGTTGTTCGCGAATACTTCTGTGGCTTGCGAGAAACAGCAGTACTCACGTGGTAGGACCAAAACGCTCATGGAAATGCACGTGCTGAGAGAGGGTGGCGTCTCTGCGGTGTCAGCAACGACACATCTCATCGACGTCCAACTTCTCTCCCAAACCGAAGCCTGCGGGAAAGCATCACTGTCCACCTGTCAAAGATCACAGAGACCTTAGGGTAGTGAGGGTGCCGGGTCACTGCCATATGTGTTTGATGGACGCTCACAGCGGCATACAAAGTACGAAGTACAGTAGTAATTGTTGGCTGGTGCTGGCAACGCAGCTGTCGCGAACGCACAAGAGATGTCGATACATAGTTTTGAAAAAATACGAACTTTGCTGTGTGAGATGGCATGGTTGACGGGGTGTGTCGGCGTTCAGATCTGCAGTTTGTTGTAGGAACTGCTGTGTACGCGTATGTACGATCATACGATAAGTGTCAGGTAAAGGTGAGAGGTTGCGCAAGTCCAGCAACTCTTTTGGAGGTCACATACTTGTATAATCTTGATGTTTTGTGCTCTTCGAGCTCACGACGTCGCACACAACAAAACATAGTGTGGGCAAGCGTCCTATATCTCATTTTTTGTCTTTTCTAACTTTGGTCAACAAGAGCTGTGTGCAATACGCACCTCCGTCATCAGCTCCTCCACATTGTGTAGGTCAGCCAGGTTGGGGTCGGCACGGAGAGCTTCCGCAAGCCTCTGGAGGCCGTCTGGGCTTGAATGAGCTACGTTGACGCTCTCCATTGGTTGGGGGACTCGACGCCCTCTAGATACCGCATTTGGGGACACGAACGCATTTCCTCCTGCGGTGTACAGCAAGAGAGTACCACCGATGTACAGGGATCGACACACCAACGGCATCATGACGGAAATGACATGATGCGGCGCAATGCGATCGATTTCTGTTCTTAATTCGCGTACAGGCGTCGTAACAGGTATATGCGTGCGCCGTACGCCTTTTCTATCTTTCGCCGGCCCCCCGTAGGCATTTGGCCAATTTGGCATGCATTGGCATCCGCACACAACACCGACACTCGATGGTAAACGTAAGCAAGGATGTACTCTCCCTACGGCAAGACAACACGGCGATCAGGTTGCTTGCTCGCCCACCTATTCGCTGCACCATTGGTGCGAGAAGTTGGGGTGGGAGAAGAGAAGGAAGACGGTGGGATCGTTGGGATCAAGCAAGAGAACTATGGGCGAGAGCGAGATGTCATCACCAGGTAAATGTATAGAAGTAGAAGTAGTTGTATTGACGTTGTTGGTGGGTGTGGCAGAGTAGAGTCTAAAGGTACGGTGTTGTGGAGGAACTGTGAAGCGAGATGCCAAATGTCATACTGCTGTAAAACGTTGTAGGCGTCGGGGCGACTGCCTGTCTGCTGGTGACTTGTAGGCGTGTGTATTATGCTTGAAGGTGCGCTAAAGTTTGAATCGGATTGGAAATAATGTAGATGCGGAGAAACCGAGAACCTACGTACTCAGTACATGTTTTGTTGTACCCAATGATGAATAAGAGTGAGGGTACCACGGTGAGAGAGAGAGAGAGATGCATTGCACGAATGGAATAATCACGGGACAGTTTTCCCGCACCAATAAAGGTGTCTGCGCCTTGTTAAGCAGTACGTACAAGCAGTGTACAGCAGTCGGGTTCATTTTTCAAAACCCGAAAATCTGACCGAGACTCGTGATGTGGTGATGGTGCTCCTTCAACAACCCTGACACGAATGGAGACCTCAACTTATCCCCTCCGACTACTGTACTGCTGTTGTGGTTATATCTCCCCTCCGACTACTGCTGTCGTGGTTGTATCTCGAACGGATAGTCTTTCTTTGATCGCATGTATATTTTCTAGAAAAGAACACCCAGAAACGAGTGTGCCAGCACCCCGAAGTTCCCGTTCCGTCTGGTCAGCAGTTACCTAACGGGCATGCTTGCTTGCTTTGACGATGATGATTATGTTCTGCCGGGCGATGGATCTCACACACAGGGCGCTGGCAGACGCAAACCGGGCAATTGCGTTTGTTTCGGAGGTTGCCGACGGGCGCAACTTCCTGATGAACTTGACCGGATGCCGCGTCCTTCACTTCACTTGGAACGGTGACGGAGACCAAGAGAAGGTGTGCACTGTGTGCGCATGCCGGTGTCAACCGGCTGCGTCAAGTACAAGTTGTACAACCGCTTTGCATTCGAAACAAGAACAAATGAGGGATCTGACGGGAGGGGGGCACAGCTGTAGAAGGCCATAGATCTGCGACTGCAACCCGCCTAAAGCTTGGTATTTGGTAATTCATCGGAACTGCTGTTTGCCCGGTGTCACGTGATTGTCGGCAGGTAATATTCGAGAAGCCGAACGGCTTAGCGGCGCCCGTGACTGAAGATTGGCTACAGAACACGTGTGGCGGGCAAAAGGTGAGCACCGAACGTTGTCGTTTCCCTCCCTGAAACAGCATGGTACACCCGTGGTCCACCTCGTGACTATTCTCGTGTAACATGGTAAGTTTCATGCGTGAGCACAATTCAATAATGGCGTTCACGGACTTCAATTCAACTGCGCGACCATTTTTCCTTGACGTTCACAACTGATTCCACTACCGTGTATGCCGCTGTACGATTCCATTTGAACGCTCTGTTTTCGGGTGCACCCTCTTAAAAGTACAATTCGTCTCCACTGAAGAATCGCCCCTGATCTGTTATTAGTGCGAGAGCTGTTTCATGGCGCCATTTTTGCCTTAATATTTTGGTCAGCGAATTACACAATTCTCCCACACATGCACTGAGACAAACAGCGGTAAATATTATTGGTGGCTTGAAGCCGCCAGGAGAACCGTATGACGAACGAAGGTACGCATACCATGAGTTGTTGTTTCACCATCATCTATCGTAGTTCAGTTCTGTGCGGTGTACCATTATTTCCCCGGGAAACCGCCGTATCGTCGAGGTGCTCGTCAGCGACGACGTTGTTGCCGCACTCTCTCGCTCCTCGAAAGTGCATGGCACATTCCTGTAATGCTGTGCAATTACGTTGGCACACATTCCATATTTTTGCCCCCGATTTTCACCGTTTCTAGCTTCCGTTGTGTTTGCTCTCCATCGGTGCCGTGAACGGTGCTTAACAGGACAAACTTCCGGAGCTGGTGGTGCTCACCGCCGCATCGGCGAAGCTTGTGGCGGGGGTTTTCATCCGTGCAGGTGAGCCGCTAGGAGGCGCGTTGGCAAACGACAATCCTTTTTCGCCCTCTCCGCGCGGCCGAAAAACATGCATTTCTGGCTTGCTTGGGCAACATGTACGTGTACCTGGCAGCCGTTGACTTGTGTCCCCAGTTTCGTTTCGGCGTTTCCCTCGCACATGATGTGGCACGACCTTGTGAACTTCTGTACACTGATACTGCTGTACCATGCGGTGATTTCAGGAATCTCGAACGTTGTGGCCGTGGACACGAGCGGTGATGATGCGGTCACCCTGTCCTTCGTTCGTTCCTTCTACCTCAGCCTTGCACAAGGGTTCACGCTCAGAGATTCCTTCGACGCAGGCGTCCAGAGGTGATGGGGAGGGGGGGGCAGATGCATGTCGCTGAGAGTACGCTCTTTGTTTGGTTGCACGGTTGTGTTTGATCTTGTTTCACCCAGTCGTGACTGCAGGGGGCGAGATTATGGAGCTCAACGACACGTGAAATGCCACCGCCAGAATGCGGCCAAACACGAATCTGGGGTGTCGAATTCGTATATCCACGGTGTACCTTGCTTGTGCACACAGCTGCGACCGTGGCGCTGAAACATCAGGCTCAGACCCATGTTTATGGTCGCCAAATCTTTGAAAAAAATCTTTAAATGTTGTCAAACATTTGCGCGCGAATATCTGCCAGAGGAACATTTGAGTACCGTTTTTATGGGCACAAAAATCTTTATCGTGTGGTTTTCTCGAAATGCATCGCACGTGCGGCCGGAATCGTGGTCTACTGCTACCAAACGATTTGTGACAGACGAACCACAAATGCGTCATGGAAACTGAATGTAACGAGCTCGCAAAGGGCTCCCCACAACCCTTTATGCACTGAGCTGATGCTGTGCCCACCAATATTTGGCGATAGCGCTCCGGGCGTGCGAGAAAAAATGTTCTCGGTGTCAAAAAGAGACCAAAACGTGCGTCAGCGCTTCCCAACGGCAAAAAAGTCGGCCGCTTGAGAGGACACGTGAGTACAAAACTATCCAGCTCTCGTCCTCTAGACAATCGATTCATGTTTTGTTTTCTTGGGTGTCTTCTCCATCAACGGCTCTCATCCGGGTGTGCGTGGTTCAGCAGTGGACGTACTCAACAGGCAGGGAGGTGCGTCGCTGTGAACTCGATGTGTTGAAAAAGTCTTTTTTGGGGCGGAGGAACAAGCCCTCTATATTCGAGTGAAAAAATAGACCGAAAAGAACGTTGTGTCCACAACTTTGCGCGCACAACGATGTATCTCCCTGCCGGCTGAGCGCGGCCACTGCCAACCCACGCACAACCGGATGAGAGTCGTTGATGGAGAAGGCACCCAAGAAGACAAAACATGAATCGATGGTCTAGAGGACGAGAGCTGGATAGTTTTGTACTCACCTCTCCTCTCAAGCAGCCGACTTTTTGCCGTTCGGAGACACAAACCACGCTTTCGTGCCCTCCAAACCACCCCTGTCTGTTCGTTTTTTTGTGCACGCTTGACGAGCTCCCGCCATGTATCAGCCGGCAAAACATTGACACGGTGACTCTAGGGTTGTCCGGATCCCTCTATGAGCTTGCTACGTTGAGTGTGCGCTGCGCAGTGGTTGGTGGTTAGGACGGAAGGGGCGGTCGGCTACTAATCTCGCCGCTCTTGGGAAACATTTTCGCGACCTGCCCCATTTCAAAATGTTTGAGAATATTTTGTCAAACGAGCGACTTTTGCCCCATTTCAAAATTTTTGAGAATATTTTGCCGAAGATTTTCTCCCATAAACAGTGAAACAAAATCTTTATCCGCGAATGTTTGAAAATATAAACATTTTCGCAAAGATTTGGCGACCATAAACATGGGTCTCAAGTCGTTGAAATGGAAAAATGATTGCGCTTGATGGATTCACACGCGTCTGCCCTGCCTGCATGTTGCAGTCTCCCAGACGGCCAGGAGGACCGGTGCGTCCTTCTTCCGGCCAATGGAGAGCACTGGTTGTCTCCTTTCGACGATGCTGAGAGTGGTACGTTCACCTACCGCGTCCCACACTCGCCGAGCAAGATGAAGATGTCCAAGAAAAAAAAGATTTCCAGCTTTCGCGGCCGGGAGGTACGATGCGAAAGGTTGTCGGTATTTTCGGTCTTGAGTCGGTTCATGCGCTGTTTCCCACGCAAGTGCAGATTGTTTTCCAAGCGCCTAGCTTGGAGATTCAGCTGGCGTCGACTCGGTGGATTTTCTTGACAATGGGAGAGAAATTCGAAGCTTGTTCTTTACGGCTACAGTATGAGCGACTCAATTGGACGGTTGTTTGCTTGCTCCGTGGGTGAGGGCTTGCGGGGATAAGGTCCACGTTGAGGTGACGCGATAAAGCCCATCATTTTACGGCATCCATTCGAAACAGATCGATCCACTCACTGCTTCACGATGCTGCCGGCCTTGCAGATCCCAGTGCAAGAGGTATACATGCACATGGTGCAGCACAGCAAAGTCATCACCATCAGCGGCAGGCCGGGTATCGGGAAAACGGAGGTGGGCTGGGTCAATCGAGCACGATACATCGCTTTGGTGTTGTGTGTATCGATTCCGAAGTTTCGAGAGGGCACACCATTTGTTCCTGTTGCATGATGTGCATACATTCTCGTTTTCCACCAGACATGAACGAAACACGAGGGCCATGTTGTAGTTGGATCCTGTTCACCATGCGCACGTTACCGTTTAGGTCTTACATAGAGCGACCGAGCCAACAGACAGCACAGAAGTAGTGCTGACGCAACGACCACAACCGGTGTTGTGTTGAAGGTAAAGGTTGGTCATGAAACATGCCAAGAACCCCACCCAGGATCGTCGCGTGCATGGGTTGCGCACGGCCGGGCGGACGGACATCCTTTAAGTGCCTTCAGCTCGGTTTGCACCCGGAGGAAGAACGCCTTTGCTAAACACACATCCATTATTCCTATCTCAACATGCTGTTTAGGTGGCTCTCCGGGCGTGTGAGTACGCTAGGGAGCGTTGTTTGTTCATCGAGACATTCTTCGTTTCACTCCAGGACAAGACCACAGGCACGCCCATCACAACGCTCAAGGAAGTCGCCGCGCGTATCGCGAATGCCTTTGGCATTTCGAAGCAGGTGTGTGAACGGAAGAGCTGAGATCCGTTCGTGCGTGTCGTGGCCATGACTTTTGCTCTTGAGGGATGGACAACACCTGGCTGTCGTAGGATCAATTGGGTGTTCGAAGCCGGCGAAGCATACGCTTTGGACAGATTGCCCAATACATCGCTCGCACCGAATTTTCTTCCTCATGTTTCTCCGGTTCCGATGTTTTCGCTCGTGTGTTTGTTTGCCATTGCAGGAGATCCAAGATCACACCGAGGGTTTCTTGGGGTGTATCCAACACAAGTGCGGGTTGCAAAAGGGCGACCTCTTGCTAGTGTTGGACGGGTGTTCGCCGTACTTCGTCAACGAGAGAGAGTAAGTTCGAGCGCGTCTCGTCCGCCTCGCTGCCCCAACCTTGGTCTGAAAAGCCTTGTACCTATTTCAAGCGTGTCCATAGCTGTGCCCCTGCAAGCAGCGCATGCAATCAGGAAGACGGTATGCCCCACTTTGGTATGCTTGTTCTAAATATTTTTGTTCACCAGTTCTGGGTCGCACCCTTCAGTCCTGCCGGTCGGCTGGTCAGTGCCTATATCTCGCGGCTGCTCCGAGTGAATCCTGCCCTGTGCTATCATACCTTCTGCTTGAGCTTTTCGGTATGATGCTTTGTGTGCACTCTCGTCTTTGCCACGTATCACCAGCGAGAAGATCAAGCTCTCATCGGTCGTGGAGCAGCTATGTCCGCGTGTGTCCAACCTCCAATACATCGTCACCGTCGTCACTCAGGTATGCTATGCTATGAATCTCGCAGCAAGCCATCCCGATGGGGATTTGGCCTTATTCCTTCAGAAGGGGCATGTTCACAAGTTTTTTAGGGTCGCCCAACCGGTCGTCATTGAGTCACACGTGGTTGAAGTTATTAGCACTGGTCTGTGAATGGGCAAGGTTCTTGCCAATTTCGATCCTGCATGGCTATGCCCCCTCCCACAAACCCGGTGAATTCGTTTCCCGCAGGTGGGTATTGCCAAGGAAAAGGTGGTAAACATTGGAAGGCTGGGCGAACTCGCGGCCGCGGAGCTTTTCGTCGCTAGCGCTCCTCGGAAGGTACGTCTGAAAAGTGTTTCATTTTTTTTCATCCTGCCGTAAATAGTTTTTTTTGATGTAATATGCCACGAATTTCCATACCATTGGCTGGGGGTGGGGGCTTTGACTTCAAGTGCTGGTGTTTTTACACACCCTACCCTGATTCGGGGATTGTCGTCCCTGGGCAGGCAGCTTTATAGGTGCGCTCCCTGGGCCTGCTGCTGCATGCTGCATGACTAAGAAAATACTCCGGCCATTTATTGTATGATGTCCAATACATGTCCTACTGTCCACGCTGTGTGCGCGTACTTTGTCGGATGCATATTGTACCGATGGCGTTTTGGCCCACATTTTTTGTGTTCTGGTGATGATGGAACAGGTTACCGTGGAAGAGCTGCGGGGGGGCATGGTCGTCAGCGGTCCACACGTACAGCTCGCGGAGTGCATGCGCTTGTTCGCCGGCGGTGTGATCATGTCTGCACTACGTAAGACGTATTTTGTGGGGGGCAGGGGGGGGTCGCTATCGCACGCCGTGTTTCATGCGTGATACGATGAGTCGAGGGAGCGCTATCTAACCTCTAGGTTAATTGAAGTATTTCAACACTCCACTATCCTCCACGGTTGATCACTCCCTGCATGTGAAATACCCGTATTTGCGTATTGATCTTTTGTTTCTCGGTGTCCTGGCTGCTGCTCGTCCCATTCGAAACGGTTACAAGAGGGTGCTCTAGAGAAGAACTTGAAGGGGTGTTCTTTTTCATATAATCGGTCGGGGGTGATGGTTCAATACATGCCCATTGTTGTTTGTTTTTCGATGCACCTGCAGGACGTCACCCTGGCGCAATCGTTGCTTCGAGTGGCATGCTGGAACAATGGCACCTTCTTACGAACGAAGACGACTACCTGCAGGATATCGCGGTGCAGCTTCAACGGTGGGAACGAAGCATGCCCCCTCTACCTCTACCGACACATAACCTTTTTGTTTTTTCTTTTGGTTGCGGTTCGCCTATTGAACACGATCAGTCGCCACAACAAGACGGTCGAAGTATTTTGCACCGGTGGCCCAGTTTAGGCGGTTTTGTTGCGCTTTTTTTTGCGATGTTTTGCGCCAAGCAGAAGGCAGTGGTTGCGACTGCCTCCGGCTTCGGCGTTTTTCCGGTGGTATCGCTTTGCTCTGTGCAGAATGTGTTGTCTTATGTGGTAGCTGTCTAGCTTTGCGGCAGATGGAACATGAAGTCCGCCAATGCTAGCATTCCTTTGAGTGTACAGGGGTAGTTATTGGTTGCATGCTGAAGTCCTGAGGTATTGTACACCGTGCAGGTGCCTCGCAGGGCTCTATTTAAGTGCTGTTAGGTCTGTTGCGGTTCCTGTCTCTGTAGGAAGCACAAGACATTGTGTACACATCTCTCGGAAACTTGATGGCACAACCTCTCTTCTCCACCCCCACCGCCGCGGCGAAACAAGGTACGAGAAGCTGGAGCAAGAGTTTGCGAGACGGCTGCAGGAATGTCCTCAAACTCAGAGCGGTGAGTGAATTCGGTTGATGCTCTCAGCGCTGGTTCACTAGGGGTTGCCTCAGCCTAGCTGGCGTGTTGCGAAGTACACACCATCCTTTCTCTCGCGTGGCGGGGGATTCCACACACCCCGCTTGTCGCTTGGGGTATTTTGTATTATTCATGAGTGTTGATATTAAATTCCCCCTCCGTCCTTTCTCTGTCCTTGTTGCTTCCGGGTGCGCAAATCGCTCTAGACTCTGTGATCGAGAGGGAGTGGGGCCGCCAGTCAAGACCAGAACGCCCTTCTCGCCAGTCATCTTCACTTGTCAAAGACCGATGTCCTCCCCACCATGATCCGCGAAGAGTTCCTTCTATTCCAAGGAAACAAGATGCTTCTAAATCTCCTCCGCCAGCTCTAGCGACAACTGAATTGCGCACCACGAACGGCGAGTTCTGGTGGAGGCTAGCCTTGGAGAAGCACACGGGCGAAGTGGGCGCCATTTCGCAGACCATCCCATGGGAAGCCCTTTGTAGGCATAGCTTGGCGAGTTATTTCGTGGAGGTTTTGGGAGACGAAGGCCGCGACAGACCGCTTCTGGTAAGCCACGGGCGGCGATTTGTGTGTTGCATAGCGCACGGCGCGGCGGTGTCCGAGGCTGAAGCTGACACGTTTCAGGCTCGCGCGATTCTCGCAGCACCCTGTGATGCATGCGCACGTGTTGGCATTTGTTTGTCCCCGAGCCTGAGCCCTTTGTTCGCAACGACAAGGTTTGTAGCGTCGCTCCATGTGGCGATGGGTGGAGGTAGTTGATAGGTGAATTTGCACAAGGCCGCCTGGTCTACAACCGCCCTCCCCCCGTATGGTTTTATGATCTGCCGCAGAATGATGACTTCAACGCTCTCGGGAACAACCCAGCCCTCTGGGATCCGTACCGTGCGCCGGGAAGCGTCCAGGGAGGTATTGCTAGCCGGCAGGAGTTCTTGGGGACGTTTTGGCCGTGGTTCAAGGCTGCGACACTTTTACTCAAGGTATACGAACGTTGGATAAGTGTGTTGATTGGGACGGTAGTACCTAAATTGTTTACAGGCGGAGGCACGGCCTGTGTTGTCTGGCCTACCTCTGAAAGACAGGCCTGCTACGTTTTGTACTGCCGAGGCTTTCCAGGCGTCTCGTTGACAAAACACGTTTTTTGCACGGTCGGGCTGCTTTTTCTTTGAAAGTGGCACCCAGGTTGAAGACCCGATGAGGAGGAGCCAAATATTTTTTTTCTTATCGATTTCGGCGCTTCTAGGCGTACCACTATTTAGTCCGGCTGCGTGTTACCGAAGAAATCTATCAAGTATCGATTGTTCCTTCACAAAACTGGTTTTGGATAATTATCGAAGTGCGTTTTTCAGGAGTTGATTTCTTCCGCAAGACGAGGCCTTCCATGGTCGAGTTCTTGTAAGCCGAGTAAGCCGAGCTACCTACCAAGTCCGACGAGCATTTCTCGCGTGGCGTGTTATTTGAAGACGTTTTATCGCCGACGCTCACCTGTTTATGCGAATGCTTCTTCAAATTGGCTACCTTGCACACCTCGAGACCCTCTTCGCCTTTGATGTCGTTTCTCTTTCGCAGCGTACTGGGTGCTGGGGGTTTCAGAAGTACCCAGTTATCTGCGGACTCAGCACCACTAGGTTCGACGGCATGAAGCTACTGCAGGGGAGACCGGCAGGAACGTTCTTGCTGCGTTTGAGCAGTAAGCCTGGGGCGCTGGCTGCGATGTATGTGAAGCCCATGCAGGAGGCAAGTCAAGACGCCGTAGAGACACGCATGTTTGCCGACCAAAGAAGTGATCGTTTGCAATGTTTGCCGGGCGTTTTATGGCGGAAGTATAGAGTATTGGGTTGTCGGACACTAGAGGAGCCGATGATATTCGTGCCACGATTTTGAAACTCCCGTCAACCAATCGTTCTGCAGGTACAATCCGTAGGCGCATGAGGGGTGGTGAGTTTCGTGTTGACACTGAATTTCTCTCCTACACAACGTCGACAACTTTGACGGGTTGGATGACAATTTGTATCAGATCGCTTGGCAGGTGACTAACATGACGATTGTTTCTTGTGTATGTTCGATTTTTTGCCTCTGCCACTCCGCTCGACAGCTTGGCAATGTTCTCATCAAGTCATCGGCTGATCCGGTCAACCACCGCAAGTTCGAAATCGAGTACGGAAGCGAAACGATGATTGCGCCTCTCAAGCAGTTGATCGAAATCATTCCGAAGTGGACCCACTTGTTTCCCGACACTCCCAAGCACGAGGCTCTCGCTGGTGTACGATAGCACATCTCGGTTCAACGATGGCGTCAAGTGCGCCTACTGGTATTGTAAATATGTCTGGCAGCGGGAGGTGTAAATAATCTAAATACGTAGTTTTACGGGTGTACGTAACCTTGATAGTTTTTAATCACCGAGTATGCTAGCCGGTATATTTTTTAGAGGTGCGCGGGATGGACATCGGTGGGCACCGCGAAGAACGTCGCGGTTTACTTGTTGTAGGGCTACGCTCTGTATGGTGCAAGTGGATTTTTTTCTGCTGGCCTCCCTCGTTTCAACACTTGGAACAAATTATCCGGGCAATGCTACCTCTGCAATAGAATCAGCTTTAGAGGAGCTGTGTTTTTCCGGCTCACGGGCTTGCGTTGCCGCGCATTTTTACTTCAATCTCAGAACCCATTTCAACCGCCCCGTTGTCGTAGACACGCCTTGATTCTACGCGGAAACCTGGCGCACCCTCACACTACCGCCGCTTTGGGACGCTTGCCCTCTCCGACCATCTGCCAGCACACGTCCTCCCCGGCTCTCAGCGGTACCACTTCCGTCTGGCCAAACTTGTACGATCCCGGAACCGTCCATTTCTCTTTGACGAGGGTTAGGGCCCCTTCGTTTCGGGGGATGCCGTAAAAATCTGCCCCGTGGTGACTGCTGAAACCAGCAAACCTGTGACGTAGGCGCAGATTACACGTAGAAAGGGTGCAAGTGTTGATTGCGCGACGAGGGTCAGCGATCTGGGTGCATTTGGGGGTGTGTGCTGTTTTGGGCAGAAATGGGCACTTTGGCCGACGGGAACAAGCTAACGCTACAACAAAACCGAAACTACTTCGGGAATCAGTCGAAATCAGGGAGGTCCAAGTACAGATCGCTGTGATCAAGTCGCTTTCAGCACTCAAATTGTCACTTCCGGAGCGTACGACACAATGCGCATGCAGTACCAGCCCGTTCTGCTGTTGTAGGATTGCAGCGAAATCAAGCAAAAACAAATCATTGTGGCATTAACGGTCAAACTAAGCACATGATTTTGCTTCCTAATCTTCTGATTGCTGCCGATCTTGTCTCAAATGTACCAAGAACGGTGTGTGTGCGTGCGCGTGCGCCCGTGGGGCACAGGAAATTGTTCGTATTGCTGCAACGACTCGCCCCAAAGTCACCAACCTGTCTAGAGCCCCTTCGCCCTCGAACACTTCGCAGTACAGCTCGAGAGCCGCATGGCCCGTGAAGATACCAGCGCAGCCTGAAATTGCGATACGACCGAGAAAATAACGGGGATTTCCGTGTTTTCACTACAGTAGTTAATCGACCAACGGAATCCCAAATTAGGAGTGTAACTCTGTATCCTCGAATCTTCCCCGTAGCACAATTGGGCACGGGGTAGAGGGTAGAGGGCAACACCCCGAAGTAAACAAGCATGTGTAAAGCACTTAGCAGATGCGTGTCGTGTGCCGTAACTCACCGCAAGGAGAAATTTTGGCTTCTCGAGCGTGCGGCGCCGTGTCCGTCCCAAGAAAGAACTTGGGGTTTCCGCTGGTGGCCGCTTTTACGAGGTCAAGCCGGTGCGTCTCGCGCTTTAGGACGGGCAGGCAGTACATGTGTGGTCGGATACCTCCCTGTCGAAAAGGTAGAGCGAATGAATGGGCACGGGGCACCATATGTTTCATTGGAAAATAAATAAGATTATGCCTCGACATTTGGGAGGCAACTGACTACCTGAGCGTTCACATTATCGGGATAAAGCCTTCCGAATGCGATGGCCAGACACGGCGATCATCAACTCCCACCGCACGAAAGCATGCCTTCGTCTGCAACAGAATTGAGGTCACACTCAACGCTGACGTGCCTGGAAAATGGCGTTGCGGTTGTAGAGTAGGTGCTGCGGCGTTATGGTAGCTGCTACGTTCGCCGGTGCAGCCGTGACGAAAGCAACGGCCTCCGATGTGGTGATATGCTCCATAACCACTTTCAGGTTTGGCATCTTCTGTACTAACGGCTGGAAAAGGAAGGAGGGACAGTCGGAGTGAGCGAAGAGGGGGGTGATGTGTTTAATGCATTGCAGGAGCAGCAGGCTCTAGCGTTCACCAACACATTTGCCGTGGTCAACAAGCACCATGAGCAACAAAATCACGATGTTGCATTTGATGGCATCGTCGCAGGCATACAGTCGACAAGAAAAAAAGACCCGGAGCATGCGTGCGCGAGAGGATTTCACGATTGGTGCCCTGCCAAAGACAATAATTGGGAGTATATACGGTAGTTACCTTTATCACTTCCTCGATAAATCTGGCTTCTTTATCGAAGATGTCCACTCCTGCCGTGGTCACCTCCCCGTGGATCAACAGCGGCATCCCCACCTCCGCCATGGCCTAAATGGAGTAACCGCAAGACCGAGAGTGGCACGCACGACGAACGTCCTTTCAGGGTTTGGACCATGCCAACAGCCACAGGAATAGGTTCGTGATGGAATGACAAATCCTGACTGAGGCAGGTCTCGAGTCTCGAAATTCTGTAGGCAGCCAAACGCCTAGCGGTACGTGCCTGTCAATCATGTGCACCTGCTTGCCACCAGGAGCACACTGAGCCTGATTAAAATCGCATAGTTTGCCCTATACCGTGTAAGTCCACAGCGAGAGCGTGTCCGTCAACAGTTTACCCACCCACCTCCATTGCCGGGGCTACGTTGGCCAAATCCGTCACGCCTGAGTCGGAGTTTGTGGTTGCTCCTGCGTGGAAAATATTGACGGAACTGAGTTTCTGGTACAGACTTTGGCAGCAAAAGCGACGGTGGAAAGGTAGGATAAGCCTCAGTACTATGTAGAACAATTGCAATCAACAAATCTCGCTCGGGAGCAGACTGCTGCACGATGCATACGTATGCATAAAACGAATGTCGTGTCCACATAGAGCATCCTCACCTGCTGGGTAGAGCTTGACAGCATACACGTGGCCACTCGCTTTGGCCTTCAGAATCTCTTCCGGGCTGCCGTGAACAGATGAATGGTCATTGCGTGGGCCGTTAAAGGTTGCTAGAGGGAGCGGGCGGGGGTAGGTACGTGGGCTTGACTACTGTACTATCAATTTCTGCGTAATCAATGGTGATACTCTGGGCGGTCGGGCGACTGGCTTCATGCGGCTGAAAGCAACCTTAAAAGAGGACGGGATCAGGCCAAGAGATCGTAAAATCAGGACCGCCATGGGATCAAGGTGACAACACGTGAAACAAGGACAAGGCTTGAAACACCTGAGGCAACATCAGCAGTTGGTGGAATGAGCCTTTGAGAGCCCTCAAGCCAGGCTAGAAAAACGACAAGAGCGCGAACTCAAGCCGCGGCAGCGTAGAACAAGACCAACAATAGTACGTATACTTTCGACCAGACAACCTTCGTACAGAGATTTATCTAATACGTCTCTCCTTCACCCAAGCAACAGCACATTTGATTGGGTGAGGTGCGCACAAACACACTCACCACATGTAGTTCGGTTTCGAGACCCGGTTGCGCGAAAAGAGCTGCTACAGTGCCAAGATACTCGCACACACTGCCGTACCGATCGTACCAAATGTCGTGCCTTTGGAGCTTTTCAATCTGTTGTTTGTTGTTTGGGGGAGCTTGTGCACTGAAAGTTGGCAATCCACAACAAAAAGCGGTAGTCCATGCCCAACAACATTATACCCGTTACTCTATTCAACTGCTGCATGATTAGCCAAGCTACTAAATAATGCTGTCACATTGACACGTTTTGCGTTTGGGAGAGTTCGACAATACTCGTACGCATACTCACGTAGACTTGTCTGTCATATACAGCGTCATCAAAGGCGTGAAGTCCACTCCGTCCGGTACACATGCAAGGATGCGCTGTAGTAATGGGCCAGCACGTTTGTTGGAGAATTCGGATCAGCTTTCGGCTTCAACCCTCCCAGTACCTAGTCCCCCCGCAAAAACAAATCCCAAATATTAGTAAGCCATTCGTTGGTCGAGGGGCTACAGTCCCTCCAAAGACTTGTCTTCAGTATGAAAATTGTCCCCAATACACGTCGGGACATTTTTCATACTGCAGACAAGTCAGCATTTTCTCCAGTACCAGGCGATGTGCAGCTTTACGACCTAGGGGGCAAGCGGGTTGGGAGATACGTGTACAGCAAGTCAGAGGCCCAGGCCCAGGAGAGGCATTACACAGCATATCACACAGCGTACCACCTCAGCCAAGCATGATATAGACCAAGGGTTATCGCGATCGTTGCACACAGAGGAGCCTAGGGTGACTACAGTGCCTTATATAGGTATTTGAGTGCTGTGTCACCAAAGTGTCCCCACTTGGGCTTCCAGTACTACTGCTGTAGGAAGGTTAAGGCTACACCGCCGTAGTACATGGATCACAAAAGACGTGCTTACCACAGCCGTACAATTGTAGTCAGCAGGTGTTCGTGTACTCCGATCAACGGGTGTTTTATACAATTCAAAACTTCAACTTCAATCCGTGCATGTTCTCTAGATGCAGAGCGTACAATAGCCCTTGCGGTCCAAAGCGACATAATGAACAATACTTTGTACGCGCTTCTCACTGCACCAGCATGCGTGAGGAGCATGAGCACTCACTTGGCGGTACGCCAATGCCTCGTCTGTTGTTGTCACCGGTGGCTTCAGGTTCGGCATGGCAATCTGCGAGAAACGCACAGCCGAGGTAGCACACAAAAGTTACTTCGAAGAGAGCGAGATAGGGAATGTAAATCCCAACCATGCAGTAAACGGAAAAAACAAGCCCCGCTGAACAGCAGCAAGTGAAACACGCCAAGCAGCAAGTACATCAACACATAAACCTCTCACCGCTCGTCGAAACATCCGTGTGGCGTGTTTCACGGTATCCGCAAGGACCTCGCCATCGCGAAAGTGGTGATGGAAATCGTCGGCTCGAGGAATAGTTATCTCGACCCTTTCGGACATGGCTTGTGCGAACAGCTCGTGTGTGTGCACCTCTGCGTGTGGCAAGACCAGATGAGACACAGACAGAGTAGACAAGCGGTTGGGTGCGCGGCGCAACAGCAACAGCAACATCGTGTGTCACGACGTAAGACATTTGAGGCCCCGCGTATGAGAGCGCAGGACGGGGGGGGTGTCGAAAATGCAGAACCCGATTGGAGACCATCATGATCGTGCCACACGCATCGCTGATCGCGTGTTTGCCACAGCAGCAGGAAGACTGCAGAACAAGGGAGCTCTCCCGTGTGCCACCGTGTTCGCTCGGCGAAAATGGGGATCACTGGTCTCCTTCCGTTTCTGAAGAGCGTCACCTACCCAACCCATATCAGCGAGTATCGTGGTCTCAAAGCGGGGGTGGATGCCTACTGCTGGTAAGATCAGACGACAGGACACGCAGACGCGCTGCGTAGATAGGTCTCCTACTAGTCCATTGCCCGTTGCTTACACTACAGCAAGTTTCAAACTGGTTGCCCCATGCATCTCGCGTAGACATTCAGGTTCCTGAGTGTCAAATCAAGATATTGAACATAAGCAAATCACCAACCGTATTTTTGTCGTTTTTTAAACTTTTGAACAGACATGTAGCGTGTCCTCATTGTTGTTGGAAGGAAGTGTTCCCCCGTTACTATTATATTAATAATGTGTACCGGTGATGAGAAAGGGCGTGTGCCGATACAGCAGTATGTGCTTGCTTTTTTTACAATGCATATAATCGTATTTTGTTTTAGTTTTAATTTTTGGGGACGTCAAATGTATGTATGATGCGCAACCTATAATGGGCATTATGATCATGTGGTATCCACAGAGCGGTAGTGCTGCATACAGCACATGTCCGAGCGAGTTGTTTAGGTACCTTGCCTGCCGTGTCACAATGCTCAAATAAAATTCACTTGCTTGCCCTGACTTGCATGTGCGCGCTATCGGCATGTAAAATGTCTTTCTTCCTCTCTCTTCGCACGGGCATTGGTAAACGGTGGTGTGCTTTCCCTTCTCTGCCTCTATGCGATACATGATACTGAAGAGAAGCGACATGCCTGTTGCTGCGGTCGTGTATTTTAGAGCATGTCTGCTAACCCTCCTAGTACTGGAAGCCAAAATGGGAACACTTTGGGGACACAGCACTCAAATGTCTGTTTACCGCACCGTAGTCGTCACTATGCTCCGCTTCGTCAAACGCGCGTGGGAAACCTTGATCTAGCATGCTTGTGTTATATACTGCTAATTTATGTGATGCCTGTGTGCCTCTCCTCGGCGTCTGACTTGCTGTACATATACCTATCTCCCAAGCCGCATCCCCTAGGTGATAAAACTGCTGTATATAGCCTGGTCCTGGAAAAATTTGCAGACTTGGCTTCAGTATAGAAAGTGTCTCCAGTACATTTGGGGACACTTTCCGTACTGAAGCCAAGTCAGGCTTCGTCCCTCGGGACTGTACAGCCTCTCCCAATGAGCGGACGCGATTTTGCTGGACCCACAACCTGTAACTAACTGATGACTAACTGAGTACTATGAGGGTGTACAAAACGTTTCTGTCCACTTTGTGCTGGCTGGAAGAGCAGGCTTCATCGTGGTGCTTTTAGCTGCGGGATGGAGCTCTGCACTGGTGTGGCCACCGACAAGTGAGAGTTTTGTGATGCGAAGGGCGTTGTGAAGACCTAATGTACAGATTTTCGGGGAAAGCAGCGAATCCATCGGCAGATTCATTGCTCAGGCCAAATAAACAGAACAGTGGTGTCACCCGGCGATGGGATGGGGGCGGAAGCAATGAAGGCCTCTATCGCTTGAGTTTGAATCACTGCTGTTGTTGTTGTTGTTGGACTCGGGTGACGATGGTGAGCGCTACCTTCAGCTCCAGACCCTTCATCTTTTAACCCCTAAACCGCTCAATCCTCCGTCCTCACTTACGCTCAGGTACGTCGCTTTTTGTATGAAGCGTGTGAACCTCCTACTGCACCACGGGATCCAGCCCGTCATGGTATTCGATGGCGCAAGCCTCCCCATAAAAAGGAGCATTAATCTGGAGCGCCGGAGGTGCGGTCGGTACATTCTTATGTTGGCATCCTTTGTGTGGCTCAGGCGACATGGGCTGCGCCATTGTGGGAGTAAAACGAGTATCTACGTTGCCTTAGGAAATTATTTCATTCACAACACCAACGCTACGATCGTGATAAGTAAAATATAATAGTAGCCCGCGCGTGCACACCGAGATGTTGGGGCGGGGCGGTACGACCATGGATGTCCAACTAGGTTCACAAGGGCAGAGGATCCTGCCACTGCTGCTCATCTTGTGCAATCACAACGGTAGGCAGAGCCGCAGCTAACCTGCATGGCTCGAACCTTTTGTCTCTTTCCATGTGTTGATGCTTCGATGCCAGACAGAGAGAGACGGCGAGGAGCAAGGGTGAGGCAGCGCTAGCGGCGGGGGAAGCTGGCGCAGCTGCCCAACACTTCTCCAAGGCCGTCGGAGTGACGCACGACATGGCCTTCCTCTTGATGAAGGTGATTTCGCTGTGAAGCGTTTGTATCTGGAGCTTGTGCACAGCTCCGTTTGTTTTGTTTGAGCAGTGTATCCGGAGCGTCCATCCATCAGACAACACACCTTCGTTTAAGTGCCTTTTTAGGAGCGCGTCGATGTTCGAGCGCGTGCATTGATCATTAAGCTATTTGTTAGTTGCCATCTGATCGACGTGCTTTTCTGTAATGAAACGGAAGTTCCAGGATAGCTATGTTTACGGAGGCCAAGTTGCACCACCGCGCTTTGTTACCGTGCGCTATACTCTCCTGCTGCATATGCCCTTGCGAGAAGTTACTCTTACTCTTACAAGCAGAGCACATAACTTCAGATCCAAACGTTTCGTGGCGTTACACATGGTCCTTTCCTTCGCTAATATTGTAATTGTTGTTCAAACAGACATACCAAGGCTTCTTTCTCGAGGATTGCCCGGACCCCGACCACCAATCCTCGAACTAACGCACAACTTGATTTCATTGATGCTATTGATTCAATCTGTATGGATTATTTGATGCAGGCGTTGCGACAAGCGGGGGTAGAGCTCGTCGTGGCGCCGTACGAAGCAGATGCCCAGCTGGCATTTCTCAGCCGAACCGGTGCTGTGGATGTTGTCCTATCGGAGGATTCCGATTGCCTTCCTTATGGGTGCAAGAAGGTAATGTCGATGGTAGGAGTCTGCTACGCGTCCACCCTCGTGGGCATGGGGATGTTCACGTGACTCTGGACACGACTATCTAGATTGCTGGTGTCGCTTGGTGCGTTGCGCGCATGTTTTTCCGGTCCGAAATGTGCTCTTTCCTGCCGGCTGCAAGGTGATATGCTTAAGGTACAGACAAAAGTGAGTCGAGATGCATGACCCTCACAGGTGCTGTTCAAGATGGACAACGAGGGCCACGGGCAAGAAATTCAGCTGAGAAATCTCGCTGCAAACACACCGCTTTCGTTGAGCAACTGGAAGAACAGCATGGTGAGCCAATAATCGTTGAGGATGATGTTTCAAGTTTTTCAAGGCGCTATGATCGGTGCTAGTGCATGATTCCACTGTGTGTGGGAGCTGGCGCGAAGTACTAGGTAACTGAGATGCACACGACAACGTCAGATGGACCGGACAAAAATTAGAATGGATATTGTACCCAAAATATACATCACATCCATCTCACAAGCAATGCTTGCGTTATATTCTCCAAACAGTTTTTGGATCTCTGTCTTCTGGTGGGGTGTGACTACATACCTTCTTCGGTGAAAGGACTGGGCATCGCAACTGCATACAAGCTCGTCGATAGACATCGGAGCCTGGACAAGGTAAGCAGCCGCAATCACGCGTTCAACGGATCCATTGGTGGCTGAGGCTTGTTACCGCAACACATGATTTTCGAGACAACTGTTGGGCACGACGAGCCTATCTGAACATCGACAATGAGCAGTTGTTTGCATTGATTTCGATCCAGGGGTCCCTCCAGCAAGTTGAGCTTGTCTGTGGGGAGGTCGATCAGCTCGCAATAGAAACCCGCTCCGGGAGTTCATTTCCTGCATTCCCTGCAGCAGGAAGACTGCTGTGCATAGCCTGGCTGGAAAATGATAGTATGAGTTACCGCTGTAAGTATGAGCACAGCAGGGGTGAGCTAACAAGTCAGCATTGCAGGGTGGGCTCGTATGTGGTGTCTTGAAAAGCCCCGTCCCTTGAGAAGTTGGCGGAGGTGCACGTTTCCTTGATGCATGTGCTTCTTTCGCCCTCGTCTACAGATCATCGGCGCTATAAACTCCTCAAGGTTCGTCATACCAGAGGGATACTGGGAACAATACAAGAGGGCGCGATTGACTTTTCGACATCACATCATCTACAATCCGGAGACAGAGGTAGGACATTGTTCGTTCGGTGTTTAGGACAGCGGTTTGGAGCCGTTTATATTCCTCGAGACTGTTCCAATGAAGTGTTAGTTTCGGCAATAGTGCAGTGCTCTGGAATACATACAGAACGGGTGTGTTCAAGCATTATCGTGTTTTGCTCGAAATTTCAACAATGAAAGGACGACCGTTTTACTTTCTGGCCTTTCCGGTAGTTCCGCGGGTCAAATAACTGCTTGTGCTTCTTTTTTTGAGGTCTTCGAACGACAGGGGTCCGACAACAGGCGAACTGAGCTTCGGCAGAGAAAAAATGTGTTTCTCATCACTAAGTAGGGCGGACGCTTCAAGTGAACCAACACTGCTACACATCTAGCACCTTGACTTTGTCTATGGTATCTACCCGCCAGGCGATATGCAGGTGAAAAGATCAAGTGGCTGACGAAAGTACCCCTTCTCCCCTTGACCGACCTGTTAGACCACAATGCATCTCATGCCGATCGGGAACACGGCCAAGGAGTTGGACAACCTCCGTTTCTTGGGTGAACATCTACAACCACCCATCGCACAAGGTGAACCGACATAGGACTACACGGACGGTAGTAAACATACGTACCGCTTCGAGTTTCAGGCGTGGTCGCTCTTTGTCACATCATTCCAAGTTTTCGGAAACAGAGCTGCAAGCTACCATCCGTTTGAATGTTTTGGCTGCAGTGCCCCGTCGTGGGTTCCGTACCAAATACCGTTCTTGTCGCGCTCATTTTTTGTTTCTTTGTTCCTGTTTTTGTGCTATTTGTTTCAGTCACTCGCAGTGGTCATACACAAGGACTCCCCTTTAGTGCTTACCTTCTTTTTCGCCTCGAGAAGGGTTCCGCAGTATACATCATCCCAAATCACGCTCACGACGTGAAACGCCCGGTGCTAGGTGTGGTACGAAGCAAATGTAATGTACCTGAGGCCGAGCTCAAGACTGAACACTTGTTTTTGTTGATCTCTTACACTCTTCGGTTACGTCTGTGCAAAATTGGGTGCGCTTTGGAGCTTTCAGCGTTTTGAAAGTGGAATCTCGACTCTGTACAGTAACACTTTTCTGCCCAACGCGTATTATCAGGTGTGGGCTCGGGGCGTTTGCTGCCCACAAGCCACCAGCCGTACGAAACAGCAGCACCTCTGGAGCATGGCGTGCCCTGCTCCCCACTGCCGTCGCCCGAAGCCCAGAAGAAGCCGCCCGTCGACGCCACTGCCGCGCTGTCCCCCGCGGCGGCGGCGGCTGGTGCGGACGGAGCAGGGGTCGCTGGCGGTTCATGTTGGGATCAACGTGTGGAGGAGGATGGTGAACATCAAGTTGGTCCCATGCCTTCGGTGCAGTCTCCTTTGTCTCGAGCGTTCATCGATAGCCCCTTCTGCGCGAGTAGATCTGCCCTCAGGGAGCTACCATTTGTGACGCACGATGATGTCACCGCTCCCCAGGCATTGGTGGGATGGGGCGTAGCATCAAGCGACACGGCATCCGGGTGGGCAACTGGCGTCAACCGCCATCAGCCAAGTGTGTCAGAAGCGTGTGTGCGCGACGATGATTGGAGAGCCGCAGGAAGTGATCCAACACGCCTTGGGGGGCGGGAGGAGAGACGTCAAAGCCAGGGTCTCGACTTAGTGCGGATACGAGGGGGGGGACAGTCCGCCGAGCCCGCATTAGGTTTCTCGCCGACAGTCCGGTCGGCTGTACGGGAATCCTCGGGGACATCTCGTGGAGATAAACCTTCATGTCGTGCGAGAGGAGAGGAGACGTTGTGGCCCTTTGCTCCCCATTCGCAGGATGAGAAGGGGCACATGGCTGACGGGAAGGCCATGGGCTGGCAGCAAGGGCCCGACATAGGGTTGAGGGCCACCGGCGAGGGTTGGGGCCAACGACTTTCTGTGAAGAGTGATGAAACCGCGGACGCGAGACACGATGGACACAAAAACGAGGGATGCATGTACCCTGCCGCGGAAGGGTCTGCGCACAGGAAGCCGGATAGCCGTGAGACCAACCAAGACCACGCTCGTGAGGTGAGTTCACACATTAAAGTATGAAACACCCCGGCACGCACGGGTGTATGTTGTGGAGTTTGCTACGCGAAGTATTTCGTTCTAAATTCCAATCGCGCAGACTCTTTCCAAAGCGCGTCAACAAGACGGCGATGCCTCGCGGGATTGTGTCACACGTGCGAGGTCTCTTCCCGTAGATTTTGACTTGAGGTGCCCTCGATCGTGTCGCGCTCGTGCTAGGCGAACGTGCGGCAAGGTCTACTAGCGTTGACCGGCGAGGTTCCAGTTGCTGACCAAGCCAAGTTCGTACCTGCTTCTGCACAGCACTTTCGAAGCACACAGGTGAGATGTCACTGAGATACGTACACGTTTCCTTGGGCTGTGTTCAGTACAGTATCTTTTGCATAGATCTAACAAGAGTGGCGCACACTCGCGTACCTTTGTTTTTTTGTGTTTATCGTACATACAAGTGTAGTGTTACTTTTACTTGTCCGACCACGATTGATTCCCACAGACGCATACGCATTTCAGGGAAATTGAGTGAAAAAGTAGCGTATTTCGATATACGTGAGGTCACCCCCGGCGTTCGAAGGCAAGCTTCGAAATACGGCACGGTCGATGGGGGCACAAAGTAGGACATGACGCTATCCAGAAGGCACTCGTTCGTGAGTTTACACAATTAAATTCAATCTGAGTCGTCGACGGGGAGGACAATGATTGCTAAGACACGCAAACCTGGCTTTAGGGAAAGTACCGTAGTCTTGTGTGTGACTGCGATGAGTGGAGACGTAGATGGAATGAGAAAAAACGGCCTTCATCGTATCGTGGTGCTCGCCTTCTGTACTGCATGTTCTTCACGATGCCGCAGGTGAGCCAGGGGCTCGAGACACTCCAGCGCAGGAAAAGGCGCCTGTACCCAGCAGAAGACCCCGAGTGCCTGGGGCTACCAAGCAGAGGACAGCAACACCAGGTCCAGCCTGGCGCCGCTGATAGAATGCTGCACGGAAGCAACCTGCCAGTTTTCGGGGCCAGGGTTGACAATCCAACTTGCAAGTCTGGTGTCGATCGTCCAGCTGATAATAGTGGGTTGTGGATGGTCCAACCTCAAGAGGCGAGAGGAATGTCGTCCGTCAACCCGCCTGCACCTGTATCTTCGCCTGTGAGACTGCGAGCAGGGAGTCGTTTAGGGTCACCCGAAGCTCGAGTGTTGACGGCTTCCTCTAGGCGGTGGACACTACCTGTACCTTCGACCGCGCCTCCGGTAAACCGGGAAGGGTTCCCGCTATTGCGCTTGTTAGATGGAAAGGGGAAGGTTGCCCCCGAGCGATCGTGGAGTGTAGACCGGCGAATAGGCGGCGCAAGGGTAGGACAGCCGTCGCCCAAGCGCACACGCGGGGTTGAATTTTGGGACAACCTCTTGGGCTAGAGAGTGTTGCCCAAGGTAGCTTTCTTCGGGTTGTGACGAAACGCGATAAATACGTCGATCTATTTATGTCTTTCCTACAGATACTACAGCAAGGTCTCAAAGGGTTGCGTGATGTGAAGGCTACCTCCTGTCTCACGGCCGAAATAATAAATGGACGTTACAGCACAGGCCGACCTTCGTCCGCGAATGGAACGTTCCAGACGTTACAAGGGGCGGGTGGATATTGTGCTGACTTTTGTGTTGGTGCGGCTTTGGACATGATGGCGTCCGAGACCAGTCTAATATTGGCAGTGAAGATTCGGTATCAGAACATACACCGGTACAGTTCTTCCCTGGTCCACCAACGTTGGCGAACGTACCCACGCAAGCTCATCGTTGTGTCATATCCTATCACTTAATGGTCGCCTGTCCATACAAACAGCGTACGCCGCGGAACATGATCCTCGATGCCTCCTATAGTCTACCTGAAAAAATATAGGAAAACCTCCTCTACAATTCACCGGATTCTGCAAACGAGCCCTACGGACTCTAAACCTCTGCTCCAAACAACTTCCAGCTCGAATTACATGCTGTCATTCGTGGCCCTGTGGGGCCGCAGTAGTACCCGGGCTTCGTCGGCTTTACAATCTACCCATCCCCCCAAACTTGACAAGCATAATAATTCCACCTTCGCCCACTTGGACGAAGGTCCGCACGACAGCGCATTTACCACCATCCACCACCCCACGGAGGTACAGTACCAGACACTGTTAGAAGTGTCATTCTTAAAAGTATATGAAGCAGTGCGTAGAGATGAGGTTATCCAGGGGCGGGGTGGCGGTGTGTACGCGCGTTTATTGCACTGTGTGTACCCTGTAATTTTTAGTGGTACAAGCTGTGCCATCTTTTAAGCGGGCGTCCACGAGGCGCCAGGCCTGGGGTGCCCTCCACCAGAGGGGGCACTTCCCGACGGTGGTGTAGCCGTCAGCCCTCCTGGACCAGCACCCGTCCCGCCGGCGGTTATAGACGCGAGGAAGTCCTCTAGCTCCTGTAGTAGCGGTTGACCCGAGCAAACGCACGGAGAAACAACCCCCGTGAGCGACGTGAGTTTGACTTCGTCCAGAGGGTAGATAGAAACGGATTTCCGGAGCCGGGGTATATCCTACGCTATTTACAGCACCGACGGGCTTGGGTTAGTTGTAATTGAAAGGCACGGGACGTTCACCGGAACACATTTACAACTACCTTGTACGTACGTAATGGAAATGGAATTCCACAACACATACCTGGGTACGGGTGGGCATGGCCTTTGGGGTCTCCCCTGTGATCGTCTGGGGCAAGTTCCTGACGACCCGCTCGAGTTCCATGATGAACATCGGCGTTTCCGGGTTGTTCGGGTCGTAGTCCACCTGGCAGCCAATCTGATACTTGTACTCTCCTATGCATACAATAAAACGGAGAAAACGTATCGGTTTGGAGGTAACCGACATGAAAGAAGAAGCATTTTACACACAGCGATGACGGACTGCTTGTAGAAATTAAAGTAGGGCTGACGCAAACAAACGTCAGACAGCACAAAATATGGCGGAAAACATGCTTTTCATAGGGGGGCATCAGGACAGGAGCTTCACTGCACAACATAAATGTTTTGGAAAATGAATGTGTTCCGTTCAGATACAAGTCCACCTACATCCGTGTCGAAAATCTGGGCATATTGTGTAGCACAATGGCGCGTGGAGATGTCACTTGGTCTAGGACATAGAGCATGATGTGTTCAATCTTGTTTTGCCTTCAAGTTTGCGTAGGTTACATGGATCGGAATGGGGACCTTGAAGAACAGGGAAGGAGAGGTGCTGAACAAAAGTCAAATAGAACAACACCTCGGGGGCTGGGGTGGGGTTGGACTGGTCGTGGAAACAAAGCCGGACTAGAAATACTCCCTGGCTCCGTGGGGGAGGGTGCTTCTTCTGGTTAATTGTCAAAATTGAACGGTATCCCCGTAGTATTCATGTGTGTGTGACTCAGCTTCCGGGTGGACCACCGGACTCTGCTTACTGGTATTTCGACATCTTTCTTTGCCTTGCCTGTGTTCCTTTACTTTCGTTTTTCGCAGTTTCCACCAACCCTTCGGCCTTGCCTCTATCAGAGGTGCTCCCACCTAGGGTGCCCCACTTTTTAACGTGAGAAGGGTTCAGTTACCCTTTCCTCAAGTTCCCCACACGTAGTACTAGGTACGGCAAGGAACATGAACACCGCCAGGATTCAACTTCCCAGCCTACTGTGCTCCGCTACAGACCTTTGGAATTAATTTTCTAGGCTTGCTTGTGGTTCTACTGGCTGTCACACTGTTTGTTTGCGGGTGGTGCGACTTTGTCTGGCCTTTCGTGTTCCTTCTTTTTTGTGATTGTCACTTAAGATTTCTTGATGGTGACGTTTTGTCAAAGAAAAAGCCTCCGAAGAGTACGGAAACAGATACTGGTCAAAAAAAAATTGTTGATGCAAAGTGAACGACAACGAATTCCTAACAATACGATGGTTGAGGACTTCTCCACCCTCACCGTCGACGTTGAAGACGGGCGTCAGGCACAGACACAACTGGTAGACAGAACCGTCTGGCTTGTGGTTCTGCAGCTTGCAGAAAAGCGGGTCAGCGTGGCGCAGCGATTCGACGATCTCTTCGACCATGTAACCCTCCGTCATGGGGCCCTGAAGGAACTTGGAGTTACGCCCGATGTTCTCCTTGCCGTATCCTGCAAATGGTAAATAAAATAAAAAGTAGGTGGATTACGTCTCTCAGGGTCCGCCACCAGCAAAACAGTTCCGAGTGTACACACAATGTCGGGGGAAATTTAGGTACCTATTTGGCAACACCGTTCCAACAAGTCGTCTCTTAATGGTGAACGCCGTTGATACGGACGGTGAATTATCGCGTATTTAGCCGGACGCGCAAGTAGTACCTGTTTGGGCAGCAAAGCCCTCGTTGAGGTATGCCAACGGGCAACCCGGGACGAACATGTCGCTGACCACCAACCCGATTCGTAGGGTTTCTGACATCGCCTTAAGCATGTCCATCCAGTATCCCGGGGACTCCGGATCCTGGAAGAGATAAATATGTCATTCTAGGCTGTAAGAACAGTGCTAGGAACACACATGCATTCATACTTTCCTTGCCTACTTTTAAGTGCGACGTCGCGGTAACAAGACTTCCACCCACTCGGTTGACATTGTTGGCGGCAAATCCACAAAACACAATACTAATATAGCAATCGCCCATTGTGACTGAAAAACGCCCAAGATCCAACCACAGGTGACTTGCAGACACGGACAGAACAAAACTAGGGCACGATGAGTAGCAGAACTGACCAGCCCGAAGGAGACAGTCTTGACGGGGAGTTGTTCTCCGTTGACCTCGCGCTGCACAAGAGCATACACGAACTCGCGGGATTGCGGGGCTTCCATAAAGCGGGTGAAACAGTCCTGCGCCAGGAAGTACAGGCTCAGTTCCTGCCACCTGGAATTCGGGGGCGAATGGACCACAGTGCACGCAACCATCCATGGTAAAGCACCATCCTGTGGCGGACGCCCCCATAAACTGCCTGATGGGCTCAGATTCGGTCATATTGTTTCGGGGAACGAGTCCTTAATCATTTTATTGTGCCACGTTTACGACGCTCTCTAGGTATCATGGTCGACACCTCCGTTAAGATATTAAAATCTGGCCAATACCTAGCCATCTCCTGGATCAGGGGGGGCCACCCGGTGCGATTGAGATTGCCGATGACGATCTCGTTTGTGGTGCAGTAGAAGAGCGAGTTCTTCCACATCCGCATGTGCAACTGCCGGGCGGCTTTAACCTGGCAGATGTTTCGAGTTCGTGAAGGAGTACATGGATACCGTTCAGTGGAGCCCAGATCCTGGGGCAGGAGTCTTTTTTGACAGCTTCGTGAATGAAAAAGTCCAGGTGCTCTAGAAAGGAAGTTCCAAGAAACTCATGCTTCTTTGCTGGAATGATTCCTCGAAAATGATATTATGTAAAGGAACACTCCCAAGCCCAATAAGGGTGGTTCGGGAGCTTGTCGTCAGAGGGTAGCAACTACAGCGAGCTGGGTGGTTGTGCTGGAATACCTTTTAGGTGTGCGTCTCTGTTGCTCGAAACTAACGTGAACGCGTTTGCCGAGTATTGTGTAATATTTGCACGCATTTGACACCAACCTGCTGCGGTCCTTGGGACATCAGAATCTGTTGCGCTTCAACCCAAAAACGCAGGTGCGTCTGCGACAATTGGGAACCACATTGCTTGAGGAAGCCATCGAACGCCATGAAGCCTGCTTGGTCCATAAGCATGGATCGCAGCGTGGTAGCGGCGTCTTGCAGCCACATGATCTTCGTGAAGGCGAAGATTGTACCATCGTAGTTGTCGGCCTGGGCCGCACTGCAAAGGGAGAAAAATAGCATGCAAATGCCCGACGATTCAGAGGGGCTTCCAGTGGTCTTTGCACGCATATTGCTGAGGTATGCTGACCTAAAAACACTTTTTCACGTATATGCTGGCTGGCGCAAGCGACTGTACTTACCCCGCGGCCTTCTTTTTCTTCTTGAACTTCTGCTTGGGACGGGCGCCGCCTGCCGTTGCCTCTTTCTCTTCCCGTTGCTCGCCAGCACTCAGGATTTGCTCCTTAGCGGAAATCATAGTGTTGGCTTCACCGGTTGTTTTCGCTGCCAAAGCGCCACGTGCCTGAGCCGACGCCTTGGACTTGAGGTTCAGTCGGCTAGGAAGCAGGCGCAGGAGCTTGTCCAGCTGCACCAGACGCTTCTTCAACCCCTTGTCTTCAAGGATTTCGAACTGCACGCCGATCACGTACCGGTAAATGTTGTCTCCATCGAACACAGGCTTCATGGACAGGAGGTTCTGGAACTTCTCGCCATTCTTGCGGTAGTTGGTGAGCTTAACGTGGCAGTCCTGACCCTTGGAGAGGGTGTTGCGGATGACGGCGATGGACTCGGGCTCCGTCTCTGGACCCTGGAGGAAACGGCAGTTTCGTCCGACCGCCTCCTCCTTGGTGTAGCCGGTGGTCTTGGTGAACTCTCCGTTGATGTACACCATGGGGGCACCAGGGATGGTCATGTCGGAGATGACGATGCACGCCGGGAATGACTCGGCCGAAGAGATGAACATGTTTAGCCAGTCGTCCGCGTCTTGAGGCATGTTGGACCCAGCTGAGGACAGTGCACCCTCCAGTGCCGACGACTTCACGTGTATCAAGATCAGGGACCGGGAACAGCCGGGGATGCCGTTAATGCCGTTTATTCGTTTGATCGGCGGGTGAGCTTCCAAACGAATACATCTAGGATGAGGCACGAAATGAATATCAAGACGCCAAACATATACACATTCCACGCACTACTCACGTCCCCGCCGGATTTCTTCTTGAGGTCGTCCATGACGGCTTGGCAGTATTTGGACTTCAGGAACCGGGGGAAAGCATCGAAGGCGAGCATATTGAGGGTCTTCTCTGCCTCGTCGGCCACAATCGCGACAGCAGCGGGGCCGTCTACCGTATCACCAGCTTCTTTGTTGCACTTGTCCCAAAGCTCTTGGGTTCCTTTGGTGCGGTCTTGGGCCCCTATGCCTGACCCCTGGGCTGCAACGAACTGAGTGTAAACTTTCAGGGCAGCGTCCTGCTGTGCCTGTCCTTCGAGGTCGGCCATCTTCTGCGCTTCAAGGAAGAATTCAAGCTGGGCGTCGCCGTACTCGGTCCCCAAGAAGGCAAGCATCTGTTTCTGCGCCACCTGTTGGGAAATGGTCGATGCAGACGGTCAGAGGAGTCTGATCAACGTTCGCCATAGCCATCAATACGAACGCACTACACACCATTTGGGTTTTCCCCTGGCCTATGGTTCGAAGAGACGACGTACAACAACAATGTACAGTATTACCATCACGTTGCTGAAGTTGCATATGGCTGGTGTTTGGTCGAACAGGGAGCTTACCTCGCTCTTGAGAACATTTTTGAGAGATGCAGCAGCATCCTGCATCCACAGTGACTTGGTGAAGTCGAGCATGGCAGACTTGTGCTTCTTCCCGAATTTCTTCCCATAGTGAGTCTTATTCTTCTTGCCACCCACGGTGATTTCGGACTTGATCTGATCCCCAACCTCTTGGTCAGCAGCCTTTGCCGCACCTCCGGCCGCGGACGGAGGCATACCCATACCAGGCATACCCATCATACCCCCCGCCATACCCCCCCCCGCTCCAGACCCGGCCGATGGAATAGCCGACATGTCCAACACACGGGGAGGCAAGTTTCCGTCGCCGGTGTAATCCACCGGGATTATGCGTTGGATGTCCTGGCAGATGAAAGGGAGGGCCGACAAGCGCCGGAACACAAACAATTTTAACACAAACATCGTTTTCCCGAAAGAAGTGCTTGTACGAGGATACCGGTATGTGTTTTCTAACGATGGTATTTGACTGCTTCCTGTTGCGTATCTTGGGCTCACATCACCGCTGTCTCCGGTGACACAGCTTGGTAAGAGACGCAGGACTCGTTCCATCTCCATGATCTGTGCCATCATGCCGGGGTGCGAATGCAGCTCCACCTGCATGCCGATCTATTACCGCCGGTGGATGAAAGAAGATGGAAGCAAGCAAGCAAGCAAGCAAGCAAGCAAGCAAGCAAGCAAATAGAGGGTGCAAGGGCACGAACGTTGTCAAGAGGAGCGAAGGAATGAAAGTGGCACTAAGGGACTTGCAGTTTTGTACGAGACGAATTTCTGAAGCAATAACCGACGAACGTACTTGAGAGGTTTACTCACTTGGTACAGGTACTCCCCTTCTTTGCCCAAGACAGGGTGGAGGCAGAGGAGGTTTTGGAACTTCCGGCCGTCAGCCTTGTGGTTGTGAAGCTTGCAGCACAGGGGCTCGTGTTGCTGCAGAGCGTGCATGATCTCCTCCACCATGTACCCCTCGGTTTCTTCCCCCTGCAAGAACTTGGAGTTGCGTCCAATGTTCTCCTTGCCGTAGCCTTGGTATTTCACGAAAATATCAAAAAGAGGATTCGAAACGAAATCACAGGTGACACGACGGTGACAACGAGGGCGAGGAATGACACGACTATGATGGAGATCACGTCTGATGTTGTGCGCAAGAGGCACAAAGATACCTAAAACAAGTGCTAATGAACGGACCAGCCCTCGGTCGCATTTCATTCCTGGGAATTGTGGAACCACCATGTGGCAGTCTGGATTCGTATGTTTTTTCTCACCGGTGACAGTTTTGAATCCCTCGTTTATGTAGGCGAGGGGACACCCAGGGACGTTCATATCGGCCACCACCATCCCGACGGATACCGTCTCAGACATGGTCTTGAACATTTCCAGCCAGAACTGCGAAGAACTCGAGCTCTTGTCTAGAGCGACGGTGTTGATTGGCGGCTGGCACGAAAAGAGTGGCACAAGGGGGTGTCTTGAGGCGTTGTTCACGTTCTGGCGAAAAAACGAGCTTACAACCCGTCAATCCCTCCCTGCTACTGTGACGAGGAATATCGAAATAACCCCTCACCTTCTCCCCAGCAATTTCACGCGCGCGAAGCTGCTTGATGAGAGACAGCCCGAACCTCGAGTTCAGGAAGCGAGGAAACATGTCTTGTGCCAAGAAGTACAGAGACTGTTGTGCCTTCATCTCAATCTGCGAGGTCACGCGCCATCGGGGATGTAGGCCATATGTAGGCCATCTCATAATGAAGTCAAGTGAGTTCGCGTGTGGGTCACCCCGTCACTCAACCGGCTCAAACCACGACAGAGTGCGAACTCCAGGCAGTCTAAATGAGCCCAAATCAAGCCGAGGAAGGAATTTCACCATAAATCACGCGTACCTCGGCGTGGATCGGGTCCATGTTGGTCTTGGGCATGTCGCCAACCACGATCTCGTTGTTGGTGCAATAGAACAGCTGGTTGTGGTCCATGACTCGGTGCATAGCCTTCGACACTTTTTCCTTGTCCCCAGCTGGCGTGTTGCGGAGCACTTCGGACTGCGCAGGAAACGTAAATTGTTCTTGGAAGTTGGAAGTCCGGGTGGGATGTGCCGTGCGAGCCAAAATGCAGGGGCATGGTACAAAAGCTTGAAAGTTGGCGCCATTTAGTACTGTTGATACATCGCTAGCCTGGTCGAATGGTGTACCGGGCTGCAAAACAGTTTTTTACCTGCACGAAAAATTCGAAGTGACCCTCGTACACCACGGAACACGTCTTGACGAATTCGGACAGGACCGCTCGGCATGGCCAGTCGGCCACGAGGGCAGAAAGGTACTTGGTCGGGTTGCTGAGCCACATGATTCTCGTGAACGAAAATATCGTGTTGTCGAAGTTCATGTGGGCGCAGTCCATGTCAACCTGTCGCCGGTACACGCACAGGGGGTTAAAATCGAAGGCAGAAGCTGGTGTGAAATTGTTACAATACTGAATATTTCGTTTGTTGGCAGTTCGAACCAAAACCAAATCTTTTCAGAGTTGACAAACAAAGAGTGGCAATGGTAGCATACTTGCGGACCGAGGAAGGAACAATACGCACCTCATCCTCGACCATAGCCCTTGGGCCTGACATACTTGCGTCGCCCTCAGCAGCTTCAGCTTTGACAATAGACTCCTTGTCTTGCAACGCCGAGTTTGCCTACGAGGAGCGGTAGCCAGGCATGAGCGCAAAGATGGAGGGCACGTCCGCAAAAATACATTCGTTCCTGGTCATGAACGCACCAAGGGTTTCGACTGCAGCTCGTCACTAATCCGACGTGCTACAACATCCTTTTCCATCATAAACAATTTCGAGAGCATTGCCGGTTGCCGTGGAAGCATCGGAGTAGAAGGCCCGAGACACACCTCGCCGTTCGTTTTGGAAGCCATCTTTCCCCTCATTCTAGCCTTAGCCTTGGACTTGAGGTTCAGTCGGCTAGGAAGCAGGCGCAGGAGTTTGTCCAGCTGCACCAGACGCTTCTTCAACCCTTCGTCCTGGAGGATCTCGAACTGCACGCCGATCACGTACCGGTAAATGTCATCTGCGTCGAACACAGGCTTCATGGACAGGAGGTTCTGGAACTTCTCGCCATTCTTGCGGTAGTTGGTGAGCTTAACGTGGCAGTCCTGACCCTTGGAGAGGGTGTTGCGGATGACGGCGATGGACTCGGGCTCCGTCTCTGGACCCTGGAGGAAACGGCAGTTTCGTCCGACCGCCTCCTCCTTGGTGTAGCCGGTGGTCTTGGTGAACTCTCCGTTGATGTACACCATGGGGGCACCAGGGATGGTCATGTCGGAGATGACGATGCACGCCGGGAAGAACTCAGCGGTGGACACGAACATGTTTAGCCATTCGTCAGCGTCGCCAGGTTGCTTCGATTCAGAAGTGTTGATAGCTCCTTCGAGAGCAGCCACCTGTGGAATTGACCGAGACAACGACACGTAGCGCAATGACCGACTATCCAACGACCACAGTAGGTGTGGCCAACCGAGGGACTGGCCTTTGTACGTGCTCCACAGTCTTCCACCACCCTCTTCGGAGAGTGTTGGGCAACGAAGAACGAAAACACCAAGAGCAAGAAGGACCTGCTGTCCGCTTCTTTCACGAATATCACCATGTACGGAACAAAAGAGGGGTCGCATTCCCGACCAACCACGCGAGCGTCGGTCACCTCTAATGAATATCTTTGAACAGTTCACCTCGTTGGGGTTCGACCCTGTCTTGAGGTCTTCCATGACGGCCTTGCTGTATTTTGACTTCAGAAATCGCGGAAATGCGTCAAATGCCAGCATGCCGAGGGTAGTTTCAGCTTCTTCCTGAACCTTCTGCATCGCCACGCCAGGCTCAAGGGTTTCACCCTGTGACAGCCCCCACAGGAAACCGATGAGAGTAGTTTGACATGGTTAGTCATTTCGTTGAGGCAGCGATTGTTTAAAGTGGGTTTGTTTCTACTTACCTATATCGCCGCGGGTGAGGAGGGGAAATGTCACGGGAAAAAGTGGTGCAATTCAGCATATCCTTTCGTTGGTTCACTTCATGTCAAAAAAACTCCCATTCAAAACGCAAAACGAACGATTATGCGAGGGATAGCTAGGTCAAAGATGAGCAGGACCTTGGAGTATCATGTACGCAGAACAGTTACTTAAGAGGGAACATATTGCTCAACCACACATTCAAGCAAACAACTGACGAATCTACGGCGCGAAACTTATGTTATTCCAGAGAACACCACCAAAAGCCAAATAACGTGCTTCCCTTTCTCCTAAGACGCTGGTGTCCACTTGCGTGAAAGCTGCGTGGGCGCACGGTCTTCATGGCATCGCACGCTTCGTGTTTAAATATGTAGGAATAACCACAGAGAGAGGCCTGTGACGCTACTACGAAGCCAGCGGGCTTTTGCTCGCGGGGAACTATTGAGGTGGTGCTGTGGGGTGTACAGGGCCACTAAGCAAGCACGAACGTGCCTACCTGCGACGAGTTGGCAAAGTCCCATAGCTGCTGCGTTCCTTTTGTCCGGTCTTGCTGCCCGATTCCCGCGCCCTGCGCTGCCACGAACTCCTTGTACACCTAAAGGGCATTTGGGATAGGGTTCGCGGTCATTAACATTCGCAAAGGACAAAGGCGATGCGACAAGATTCCAACTTGCGTTTCCTTCTTCCACTACATGTACATACCAGCCCTTGAGAGCAGGCAGGTAAACCGTCAAAGAACTTGCCTTGGTTGCTGCCTGGTCTTGCTCGCCGGCATCGAGCTTCTCAAGCTTCATGGCCTCGAGCAGAAAGTCTAGTTGCGCTTCACCATACTCAGTGGACAGGAACTCGCGAAATTTAACCTGCGGGTAAGCGACAGCGTTGAAACGTTGTGGTTACTAGGCGCGAAAAGTTTTAGTCTCGGTGCCGCTTACAGCAGTAGTAGTCTAACTGTGATGGATCATAATCGTTCAGATTGTCTAGAGATTACCACAGGAAAGGTTATCCTCTTCCATTTTGCTAGGGCAAGCGGTTGAAAAGCTGCGAAGAATGTGCCTTGACTCTCCGTACAGCCGAAGATTGTCCACTCCAGGGGCGTAACAGTAGTGCTAGCCAGCCTCGCGACAGAACGGGCTCCAACACAGTTACGGCTCGGCGAAAACAATGCTCGACATGTCCGCACACACCTAAGTTTGTTGGCATGCTGCTGGTACACGCGATGAAACGTAACAATGAATACTGGGCTTAGAATATGTCTATATCCAGCGAGGGGTTCTTTGGTCACGCCGGTGAAACGAGAGTTACATCACAATGGATGCTAACAATGAATGGTGTACATGAGTCGCATCTTCAACAAATTCAGCATCACGGTGGGGGTTGAAAACATCAGTCTTGGTATTGACTGCGTGTTGAGGGTTGGATCATTTCAGACAGCGCTCACAAGTCATCTAAGAGCATGTCTTCTCCATCTAGAAGAGTCACGCGTTTGACGTTACCTGAGCAACTTCGTTCTTGAGGATGTTGCGCAGAGATGTTGTCGCATCCTGCATCCACAGCGTTTTGGTGAACTCCATCATCGCGGATGCATGCTTCTTGCCGAATTTCCGACCATACTGGTCACGCCCTTTGCCACCGCCGGTTTGTACATCGCCGTCCGGATGGTGCTTGTTTCCTTTCTTCTTGGGCGCCTGTCGCGGGTGGACGATTCATAACCTTTTTTGAGCTGTACTGAATGATTTGCGTGCAGGTAGTAGTCTACGCGGTCCACTTATTTCACATCCACATACGCGGAGCTGCACTTCGAAAGTGTGATCGACGCTGGTGGCTCACTGCTGTACTACACTACCATGCAATCCCTCGGCACTATGTACACTCCTCACTCCTTACCATCCCTAGACGTTGACGATTCTTCTCGATTCACGTGAAAGTGAGCCTTCCAAGCTACAGCCGTAGTAGGTCGTAGTACGTCGCCTATCACGGGTCTGTGTGGTGATCACACCGACCCGTCCTTGATTTTTCTGCAGGGTACTCGCTGCCGATGGTCCCGGCGGCGATATTGTGGTCGCTACCCTCCTTTCCCTTTCCCTGTGTCTCGTGTCTCGTCCACACCACTAGAAAACAACCATTCATGTGTCGTTTCGATCAACGGACTTCAGGCTCGAACCGTCACATAGAGCGCGCGCCGTCATACTTCGTGGAAACCCATGACATCCGTACATCCACGGGGCCACCTACTCGTAGAATACAATCTATTGATTAAGGAATAACACACACAGAAAGAACACCCATTCGAGATATACCCACAGTCGAACGGGATGTGGTGGAGTATTTTCAGTGAGTGGAGGGAAACCGGCTGGGTACTGGACTTATTTCGAGTATTTTTAAGTCTACACTGACTGATGATTTATACCAACCACCAGTGATGCCAGCTGGTGGTGCTAAAGTACAAAAACATCTGTGTATGTATAGGGAACTTACATTTTATAATAATAATACATCCATCCCCTGAATACAATCTATGGAAGATGACAAATATAGAGCGAAGGCTCTATATTGTCATCTCCCATAGAAGAATACAATCAGTGATGGAGATCGCCGGAGAAATGGGTGCCGATACGATATTTGAAAATCTCGACAAAAAATTTCCGATAATCGATTTTTTCCCGATACTCAGTTACCGATACTCCGATTATCGATATTTCGATATCGATATTGCCCAGAAAAACTCGATCGAGCGGTTACAACAACATGATGACCCGTACACGATCTTCCTGTCTTTCTTCAAATAAATCACGATTGATTGATCATGGTCAACTGCAGGCACGACGATATACATACATACGTACAATGACACACTGCTGAGGTAGTAGTAGTGTATTCGGCGACGACGCGTGCGTTTGTTTGTGTGTGTGTGTGTGTGGAAGTACCATAATCATCAATCAGTAGATAATAGATGGAATTGAACTTTCCGTCAATCGAAACAATATGATGATGAGTATTCATTTTCCTGTCTAACAAATGGACGAGGATCCTTAGACTGGAAGCCTGTAGTCTTATACCTGCACTGACTGACTGACCCAGGTAGGACGACACAGGACATACATGCAGAAAAAACGCCACAAGAAGAACGAAGGACAAACAAGTCAGAGCTACATATATATATAATACATGCTACACACTACAACAACATCATATATATATATAGACCTATAGACCTATAGACCTTCATACTCGAGCCGTGAGAGGCCGCCATTTGGCCTTCCTGCGCTCTCGGCGCCCTAGAGCTGTTTTTTTGCGATTTCTCCGCCTGTGGACCTCGTTGCGCCGCCGGACTTGCGCGTGTCGGTAGCCTCGAGTCGCGAGGGGCGTGCCCGCGTGCGGCTCGCCATCGGTACGGCCGTGGCGTCGTGGTGGCAAGGTCGCAAAGTCGCGTCTACGAGTTCTCCGGTCGCCCCCCCAATCACAGCCGCGATTCTTAAAAACGTACAGTCCCGCCCGCCCACATGTCCTGCAGAGGTAGGTGTTTCAGGCGCATCATTCGAGTTTCGGTTTTGGAGTGGAGTGCTTCCTGAGATTGCCCTAACGTACAGTCCCGCCCGCCCACATGTCCTGCAGAGGTAGGTATATGTATGTGTTTCAGTCGCATCATTCGAGTTTCGGTTTTGGAGTGGAGTGCTTCCTGAGATTGCCCGTGTGTTTTGGAGCGTATGTATCGACTGTAATTCCCCGCCGGGCGGAAATATATATCCCTGTTGCGGTCAAATGTTCCTCCGGTGCAGCCCGCGCGTCAAATTCGCTGCTGTGAGGTGTGCGTGTCTGGCGTGTACGTTTTGTTCATGGAAGGCACACACCAGTACTGGAGGCACAGCCTCAAGTGTCCCAAACAACGCTGAACGCAATGGTTGTCGATCTTACTCCATGGTACACTCAACAGCTGTCAGAGTCTGAATCGATTCGCCACCGCAGTCGAGCAAACTGCCCAGTGGTGAATAGCAATTTTGTTTGCTTCGTCGGGGAATTTGTTCGGCGACATTTTCTGGATTTTTTGCCAGTGGCTTGCATATATATACGATTTTCGCGGTCTTGACGCCAATTCGCGATCTCTATTTCGCTAGATGAATGGCTGGCCGCAGCGGCAAAAAAAGAAGGGGGTCAAGGTGATTTATGAGCGGCGCCCAACACAACTGCAGAGTAGCTCCAACAGTAGGGCACGACCAGCGGAGAAACGGAGAAAAGTGGGACATTTCTCTCAGAAAATCCCCGCGGGCGGCATCGCAGCACCCGTCCACTCCACTCGCTGCACCTACGCACTCTACGTCTGAGAGCGCATCCATGTCTAAGTTTTTCGACAAGTCCCCTGCCAAGAAGCAAAGGCCCGCTCAGGAGACTGCCAGTAGCGGCAACGTCTTCCTATTCATATCATCTTTCCTCGAACATCGCCCGCTTGGCATCGCATTGGGCCTTTGCGAAGCGGCGGGCGGGCCGCCGCGAAGCCCTTGTATACATATATATATATCCGCCTGCATCCAATCCGAAAGTTGAAAGGCTCATGTCCTGGTGTGTGTGGTATGCGGGACCGGGCGTGGTACGCAGAGGGCAGAGGGTGGGTGTGGTGTGTGCTGTGCACCTGGCAACCATGCAACACAGCCCGTGCGTGATATCAACCATGCAACTAAAGCTAGGCAAAGACTACAGATAGATGGCGCCCGCACTTAAGAACCTACTACCTACCTGCTAAGAACATGAGGCTAAAAAAATCCAAAACTCATGAACATGAGCGTATTTTAGTGGTCCCCGTTAAGAACCTTACACTAAAACCTATATAATGGCCATTCGCAGCCTCAACAGGCAACTAAGAACCCCAGCCTCACGCAAATTAAGATGTTCTTAAGTGCGGGCGCCATCTGTATGACAACCCGATTAAATCACCACAGTAAAGTTTTGGGGCCCCGTGTCTGAAAATATCGGTGGTATCGGTATCGTCGATATTCGATATTCGATCTCGATACAGCAGTATCGACATATAATTCAGCGATTTCGATGTACTGAGTATCGCCGATAAATCGGTATCGAATGTGGCGCGATCTCCATCACTGGCAATCGTGATCTGATCGTATAAACGCAGCGCAGCGGCACTCAAACTGGCCTTGGTCACCCTCTTTCCTCGGCCCGCTCCCATTTGTGCTCAGGGATGATTCTACCAGCTTCATTTGTAGGGTGAGGAGTTGATGCATCACATGGCAAGGCTAGGTTTGTTTGGGGTACAGCATGTACGTGACAGAGGGCGCTAAGTTCGGTGTGTCGTTGTGATCCTCGCTTCCCTTCCCGCTCCCCTTCCCCTTGCTCCCCTTCGTCCCTCGTCCTCGCTCATACCCCCTCTCGGGGGCTACCCTCGTGTACAGGGCTACCCTAGTGTTCTTCTCCAGCCATGCTGAAGCGTTTATCACAAACGGACGGGCCCCGTTGGTGCAAGCTTGCTATCGACTGCACGGCCGAGCAGCAACGCCTGTACCAAGTAAGCTCTCCGCTTAGTAAACATGCGCAGTTGATCCCTGGTGGATGGGTAGGTTATCAGTCCAATTCCGGCGTGTGGTGTCAGTTGTTGACCGCTACTACAGCAGTAGTTGTCGTTGAAATCCGTCATGCGATGGTTCACTCTTCGGTTGTGGAGGCTTGAGTAGTCAGTCTACAACAGCAGTGCTGCAGGCAGGTAGGTGGCTGCAGGACATGTTCTTTGTTCGAAAGTTGAAGACCGCGCACCGCCGAGGAAAGGCGCGGGGTCCTCAGAGAGAGTCAGAGAGAGAACGAAGGAACACCCTCTGCCCGACCCCGCGCCTTATGAGCAAGGGTATTGAAGGAAAGCTCAATGATCATGCACAAAAGGGAGACGCACGCGCGCCAGCGTGTGCCATATGTGAAGTTGCATGTTTTCGGTGCAGCAATGGAGCCAGTGGAATGCCGACACCTCAACTGCAACTCCTCTGATCTCGCCACTTGTTGGCAGGAGCACCAAGATCGAGGGTTCTAATGGTATCGAACCAGGATGGAGTGCTGATGGACGAGTTTGGAATTCCCATTTATGACGAAAACGGAGAAATCAACGATGACCAGTTGGACGATTACCAGAAGAATCCGGACGGGTTGAAGGAGGGGGATCCGATTACAGTAATCGCCAAAGGTCTCACGTTCTACCACGTCCGAGGTCACAAGGTGAGAAAGTCATTACATGTCCTAGTAGATACAATGTAGCTTACCGGGGAGGTCCCCATCCGTTGACACGCTTGACACCCGTATCTTCTTGCTGAAGTGTGCACCTGAGTGCATTTCTAACGTGATAGTTGCAGCAAGATGAAAAAAGATAGAAAGTGTTGTTCTCGACGACCCAAACGGGATGTGCATGACACTGACAAAACGTTTGCTTGGCAGTGGCTGTTGGCGGTAAAAGGCCTTGGGTGGCGATGCGGTCCCCGTTGATAGTTTTGGCCGTAACGTAGCATAGTAGTTGCTACAAGACCGCTACCAGCGAGGTCAGGTGGTGTCCTGGAACAACAGATGTTCGGTCGGAGGTTCATGTTTCTTCAATATTTAGCAATCTTTCTTGCCCTCTACACGATGTTGGTTAACAGTTCGTTCTCAAGGTTTCATGTGCAGTGATCACACCAAGCGAGAAATTTGCACCTTTCACGACCCCCCGAAAAACTCTTGATCCTATTGCACCTTTCGCCTGTTTTTGAACGCGTGCTCCATGCTGCGCGAGGCATATATTCATCTCGAAACCATGAAACCCTGCTTTCCACTCGTCGCAGGACGGGTTTGACCCGGAGGGATGCGTCGGGCAGATCTCGAGCTTATACATCATGAGTAAGAAGTACGAGGGAGAGTTTTCCACTGCACACCGACCCGTGGTGTGCACCTTTACGGTAAGCATTGCGATCGACCAAAAACGGATAACGTCCACGCGACGCTTTTGACCGCTACCTCAACTCACCGAAAAGCGCATAAACCTCCACGCGGGAATGTTTTTTTGTGATTCTAGTCGGTGTTATATGTCGAAAATAAACCTCTCCCAAGTACTGATGGTCTCTGCACGGCAGGTGTTGCTGGGCGTGCACAACTGAGGATGGTCTCGTATGATCTCGTGTTCTGCCCCAAGAACCGGCGAAGTTGTGCGTTTCCTGCCCAATCGCGCTTAGAATATCACGAATGCGTCTCTAGATGGTGACTGGTCTTACCTCGTTTACCGTAAGCGTAGCGAGAACCTTGTTATCAAGCAGCTGGTATGTGCAACATGACGAGATGGAGAGACATGTTGTGCCGGGAACTGACTTTGAAGATTGTCACCCTCATGTGGAAGTAATATGTCAATGTCTTCACGGTCTTGATACAGCGCTAGTATGTTGTTGTTGTTGATGTTGTTGTTGTTGTTGTCATCGCCGTCGTCTTCACATTTAAGAACCGTTCCGATCGCTGCTCATCGTCTAACCTGGTCCAACTGACGCGGATGCCTTATGTGGTCGCGGGCAAAAGTTACCCAACCAAGGGTGACACATACCTGCGAAATATCAAAGATATTTCAGAGGACCCAGATAATCAACACCGACGGTAATTACTGTGGTTAGCGTTGCAAACAGCCAAGGATCAGGCACGTTATGCAAAATACCTTGGACCACGAGGAGGCACTCGGTATATGGGGTCCTTGATGCGCACGAATTCGTATAACAAGATACTCGGGTACTTAGTGGACGTCTTCATCTTATACTGCAACATCTTTGCCTCAACCATGTTTTTCTGTCTGGACCCGCAGCACCCGAAAAAGTTCAAAGCGCACTTGGAGTTTGGGGAGGTGAGAAAAGCAACGCCGGAGGAAATCGAGAAGAACCAACAGCTGATTGATGCCCAGAATGCACTGGATGCTATTGAACAAGCAAAAAGAGACGCAGCCAGGGCCGCCAAGGAGGCGGAAGAGGCGGCAGCGAAAGCAGCGGAATAGAGCCAAGCGTCCTAGTAGATTTTATGGGGTGCAGGCGAGGGGATCGTCGTGCTGTCTTGCTTTGGAGTGACGGAAGTCCTGAATGTGTTGCGCCAACATGGAGCACGGGACGAAAATAGGAGGAGTCGGAAATCGGACGCAAGTCGGGTTATGGACCGGACAGCCTCTTTACTTTTTGCCGTTTCGTTCTTCTGCACCCATCCATGTTTCTATTTCCGTTGACGCAGTAGGTACTTGGACAGGGTTGGTGAGTTGAGAGTGCGATGGAGCAGTTTCCTGATGCTCGATGAAGGGATTTCCACGTTTTAATTGTACACATGACAAAATGACCGCTTTCTCGAGATTCGTTCAAAGATCCAAGTTGAATCTGCGCAGTGAAGGTTTGCGTAGCATCTGCGGAGGACCGGACAACTTCGAGTCTGTCACAGTCTTGACTGAAGATTTGGTGATGCCAGCCGGAGTATAACGTATTTTTTTATTGCGATGATATGTAGGTAACCAGCTTTGGCTGCAGAAACGCCACGAGCGCCCAACTTTGGACCCCCCCCAGCAGAAGTAGGAAATGGTGCATGATCAGTGGTCAAATGACGTTGTCTGCCATCAACTGAGCACGGCACGCTTTCGTTTGACTACAACGAATCAGAGAAGCTTTTCTACCTAGGCGGACTCCTCGGCAGTGCATTTTTCGTTCGTGAGCATCGATCGACCTTGCGGTCGAATATTCCTCCCACCAGTTCTACAAGGCACTGACCGATTATACCACTTGTACAAGACGAATTTGGTCACACGTGCTCGAGCTGTACTCGGGTGAAGAAAGAACTCCTCATCAAGTCGATCTCTCTTTGTTTTGAAGCCTGCTGCAGATACATGAATTGATAAATCCCCCCAACAAAAACGAGATGCGCCCTCGCTGACAGAGCATCAACTACGCGGGTGTACGTTTGACCCGTCTTGCACCACCCTGCTCTCTCCACGTTGTGGCTTCGGCGTTGTGGAACTAATTTATGCGATTTATGGAAGCTGCTTCAAAACGTCTCGCCCATGTCGCATGCAGCGTAGGAGCCTTTCACGCCTCCTCCTTCAAACAAGGTTCGAAGACATCGCCATATTTGTTTCCATCTCTCTCGGTTGTTCAGACCGACTTCATACAATATTGTAGTTGTGCTTTCTTCAGAGAGTGGCTGGGTGAGAATACCACAAGTATGCATACGTGCGAGCGATCGCCCCCCCCCCCCAGACCGACTTTCTCAGCTCGATTGCTTTACAACCAAGAGGCTTGTCAACACCCAAATCGTGTCGCCAAAGATGTCACGGGCGTTCCTTACACGCCGGTCGGTTTTCGTACCCTCTTGGTTGTGGAGCAATGAAACTCTGAAAGCCTACGTAGGGGGTGAGCGATCACTCGCACTTATATCGAAGCTCATCTCCCACCAAACCATTCGCATGGCACAGATAGGGCGGTGCCCCACGTGTGTCGAAAGGGTGCCTATGTAGCGAATTGAGAGGTTAAATAGTGGAGAAGGTCCGGAACCAGGTGGAGGACGAAAAGGTACTGTTGACGCAGCAAGCGTTCCGAAGAGAACCCCGTGCAAGAGGGAATGGCGCAGGGAACGAGACTCCAACCGCTGAGGGAGATCGCCATGAAAGTCTTGAAAATGATGAGTGTGAACTTGAACTCAATGATGGCGACGCCTTCAGAGGAGTAGAGGTACAGTTGTATGAGGGACGCGAGAGGATAGAGACAAGTGTAGAAGAAGAGCTTTGATCAGTTTTCGTCGATACGACCACATGCAGGCAATACATATATATATGCATAACTTCAGAGCAATGGTGTTCGAGATCAACGAATTACAGCAGTGGCAAGCCTAATGGAGCCAATACAAGTCGAATAGAGCGAAGAGAAGTCGAATAGACAGCAGTACAATACTGATGCCTGCACGGAGAAACAATGCAGAAGAAATGCTCCGTTTGCAAGTATCCAGAGACTGACCGGATCCTGTCGTCCAACCTCCGCGCCCCCATTGCCGGGGAATTCCGATGAATAGAAGAACGTGTTCCGGGTTCTGGATATAAGACTAGTCTAGACGTCTTTTGCTGGGTCAGCCAGGTAGCGCGGTCGACGGTAGATAAATAAACACACACAGCTGACGGGGTTCCACGCGGTTGCTTTTTCTTCTCTACCTTCTGTGCGGTGCTTGGCTTCAATATATTTATTGCGAGGAGGGTTCAGCCGCTCCTTCCTTCAACCGTGAAGTCGAACCTTGAGTGCACACGAACTGATCACCATCCAGGAACTTTCAAGGTCGTGTGACTGCGCCGAGAATCGAATTCGTGCCCAACGTCTGATGATTACGAGGGTACGGATCAAGGGGGTGACCAACTAAAACCTATATTGGAGGGACTACATACAAGAGACGCTATCCTTCGCGAGACACCTACACCAACTGCTAAATCATGTGCAAACCTCGACTCCTTACGCGAACCTGATTTACACGGACGCTCTAACGTTCATCCCTAATTTTTCTGAAAACCAAGAGAAACGTGGACACCTACGCACTCATGGTATCATGTAAAGCTTGTATGAAGTCGTGCACATCCTCTTTGCTGATCTCCATCACGCTGGCCTCGAAGCCATCATGCCTTGCTCGGGCTTGGATTTGTTGAGCAGCAAGCTGGAAGCACGCCCCGAATCGGTTCTTGATTACTGTTCCGGCAATCTTCGGGCAGGTGACACCGACCACCAGGTACGTCGATACGCGCTCCGCCATGATGACAAGGGGTCTGGCCTTGTCGCCAGCCCACCTCCCGTTCTCTCGGTGCACGTCTATGAGGAAGGCTGCGAGCTTCCTCAGGGCCATTGGCTGCGTGAACAGCCGCTCGTCCGTTTCGCTACTCCGGATGAACGCGTATCGAAAGTGCTTGAACAGTGTCAAGCTCCTCTTCTCCATCATTGTTACTGCTTGCTGAACCACAGCTCTCTGGAGAGACATGCTCAGCGAAAGACCCTGCTTCAAAAGCATGGGGCTCTTTCCGGAAAGAGCATCGTACGCTGTGTTGAAGCTGTCTATCCATCCCTCTTCGTCTTCCTCAACGCCCGTCGAGTCACCGGGCCCCTGGTGAAGCGTATTGGTGAAAAGCCATGTTGTATAATCTGTCCGCAATGGCCGTTCCACATGTCACAAGCATCAATTTTACGAATAAGGCAGGACTCCAACGCTTTGGTGTGGCCAGTGCGCCATGAACGCACCTGCTCCGTGGTAACCCCTACCAGGTCCTTGTGCTCCGCTAGGGCCGTAATGCAGTACACCATGTCCGCAGCGCTCAGTGGGTTCTTGAACCCACAATACCTCTGGTATGATCCTGGAAACAGCATCGCCGAAGCAAGTTGCCGTTTGATTGTGAGGGGTGTATATACTTGTGTGGTACGGTTGGCTCTCAGAAGTAAGCAAAACAACTGTTTGGTACTGCACAGTTGTAAATTGTGGACAATGATATGGATTGAAAGAACTAGCGCAAGTAACGAATGTATCATGTGCACAAGAACTTTTGCCTGCAACGCACGCCATGAACCAACACAACCTACCATAGAACACGTCTTGCAGGCCGTAGTCCTCAGCGTACTTCTCGATCTGATCCCGGAGACGCTTCCGAAGCTGACAGCTCATGAACGGGTATTTTTGCTTGCACTGCTCGAGGCTGAAACCCATCTTGGCCAGAAACTCCTCAAGGCGATGACGCCCATTGGAATTCCACACGTTGAGCTTGGAGGCGACAAAGTTGGAAAAGTACATGCTCTGCAAAGGTAAAGAGTAGAAATCATGAGGGCAGCAAACCGTACTGCTTTTCAAACCATTGCGAGCGAAAAAGGCAAACACCAAATGAGGAAAAGTAGACGAAAGTGGGCACCAACCCAAACTAAAATGTGGGGGAATAGTTGCATACCTCGAAGCAAGGAGAGGGTCACGAGTCACGAGTTTTCCTTGGATCAGGGTTAATCACGCCATCAAGGATTACACTTACCTCGTACAGTGACCAGTGGCGATGAAGCATGAATCGGAACTCCATGTCACACGTTATCCTTCCCATCTCCGATACCGGCACTAGTGTTTTGCCATCTGCCGAGCTTGTCTCCAGGCTGGTCTTGCTGTTCTTTGCAACCACGTGTTGTTGCAGTTGTGCCACGACCATGTGGTAGATTTCTTGGTCGATTCTCTGCCGATAGTCCCACCAGGAACAACAGCGAAAGGCTCGACCATCAAGTGTTATGTAGCTTCAAGGTAACGTGGAAAAACAAGCAAATTTCGGCACATCTCCTGGACATGAGCCAACCCCTCTTTGGAACAACACAAGCAGACTAGTGCGAGCAACGAGCTTACAGAAGACGTCACAGCGGTGGCTACGACGTACCTGATGAATGTATTGGTCGGTGAGTCCCACGATGGCCAGCCACAGCAGATCATTGGTGTCCTTGTTGAGCTGCGATAAAAGATCAAGCGGAATCGTACATGTCAGGCTTGGATATGTTCTCCCCAAGTGGGAGTCTGAGATGTAGGGGAAAGGGGGGGCGGGGGGAGGCGGCGGGGATCGATGTTTTCCCGGAGTTGACCATACCTGCATTGCCATAGCAAATAGCTGCACGGCGGATGCCGACCCGTGGGTGGCCCCGTTGTAATACTGGCGAATGCGTTGTCGCCGTGTCACCTCCGCATCGTGCGCTTGCCGCCGAGCTCTCGCAGCAGTTTGCCTCTTACGCTTTCGGCCCGCGCGACCCTTCCCGCGCTCAGCCGATTGGCCTAGCCCATCGCTTGGCGACGTATTTTCCTTGTCCTCTGGTCTCGCCTCTCCATCGTCCGAGTCATCATCGTCTGACTCGTCGCTTCGGTTGCTGGCCAGCTCTTCTTCCTGCTGATCACACGGGCAGGGAGGACAGCGTTAGGTAGCAGGACAGCGAGGTCGAGCTACCATGTGACAAACAAATGAAGATGCCCTTATCTCAATAGTATCCTGCAGACGGGAGGGACTTTCGGACGTCTGTGGGGTTTTGGAGCAACAGCAACGGGTTACATAACAGAACAACAACGAACGGCATCGAGCATCGAGACGAGTAGAAAAACATTAAGACACCGGCCAGTCCCTTGAAGAAAAATGTTGCGCTTGTTACCCTTCCTCAAGACGACAGGCGATCAATTATTTTACCAAAACAGACAATAGAAGCAAATAGAGATCGGCATCGGGGTGAGAAACGGGAGGGAGGGAGTGGATTTAAGGGCAAATAAGTAGGGATCACGTGTTAGATCTCAAATGGAATGACGTCAAATTACGGTTTTGCTGTGACCCAACACTTCAGCTTCTCGCCACGACCGGTCATCTCTGGCTGATCCCCCTCTCGAAGCTGTTGTGTTGACATGAAAGTACCGGTGCTGCGTTAATACCTTGGTCAATATTGCGAGGGTGTGGACACGCCTTGATCCTTGGCTGATCCGCGTTCCGGAAATTAAGGACATGACCTTGGTCCAAACTACAGTACACTCCTCGGTGGAACAAAGTCCGTGTAGAGTAAGAACATTACCTACAAGTCTGCATTCAGGAGGCACTTCCATAAAAAAGCCTTCGTGTTGCTAATACTAGAAAACCTATGTTAAGAGATGAAATGATTCATACTTGAACGAATCAGATTGTATTACTCACGTCACTGTCAGCGTCCGACTCGTCACTGGTTTCATCGTTCCCGTCCAGCCCCTCTCCGTCGCTCGGAATGTTGTCAACATCACCGTTTTCCTCATCAACGAACACGACTACCCTGCGCGTGCAATTGTTTCGGAATAGGGAAAACACATTTACTCTAGATGACCCAAGCAGTATGTGTTTCACAACTACTTATATTGATTCGTCCTAAACACGAGCGCTAAGCGCACATCACAACTATGTATGTCAAGATGCCATGCTTACTTTGAACGAGATGGTGAACAGCAATAAACTCCAGCAAGCTGTCAAACGAAACTGCGACGTGTTGCTGTAAGGGCAGGATTTATAAAGCATACACGACACAACGGAGGGTTTCTCCCCACATTGTCGTTGACCCAGTAGAGAACTGGATGTTATATTACCTAAAAAAACATAGATATACAGTACAATGGGGCTCCGCCCGCCCCACTTGGGGGGCGGGTGGCTGCCCTTAAGCCCGCACGTAAGCATGAGGATAGTGTAGCAGTAGTAGAAGATGCTAAGTGGTTAAGGCAGAGGCGAATGTAGTGGGGTGCCGAACGAACTGAGTAGCTGAACCGAAATTGGTAGGTGTTCGTGTTCGTGTCGCATCAAAACCGTTCCGGCCCCCGCTCGAAAGGAGAAGAACCGCACGTACCCGTTGGACGCTTGCAGGAACACATACAACAGGGAGAGACGTATCGAATCTAAATGAACGACGTACGAGACCTCGAGGCAAACAATAACATGCATACTATACAACACGGAGACATGTGTGTGTCGAAACTACTGCATGACGCAATACGTAACAAAAAGCTCGCAGGGAAAACAAAAAAATAACTGACATTTATTTTTTCTGACAGAACGGTACAGAGCCACACATTCCTCGCAGAGCCGAAAATCCACAGCATGCATGCATAATATCAAACAAAACAATAAATGTCGAACGGTGTAGTCGTGTAGTCCGCCGAGAATGCCCCCCTGAGTCGGAAAGACACATGCATATCTTTCCCAAAGAGAAAACAATCCACTTGTTTGACGCCATAGAGCAGTGATTTACGTATCGCGGAAATGACGATTCGTTCGGTGTTCCTCCAAGTTACTTAAAACAAGAATACAAGTGAATTGCATGCAGCAGCTAGGGTGTATACATACGTGTGATGCTGTAGTTGTTAACCTATGTTTCTTGAATAACAGCATAAAACGCGTGCTTATGTAGTGCGTGATGTGCAATTGATCATCAGTGTGTCTACAGCATATTGGTCGACGAGATCTGCAGAACAACTACCAAACAAATGGTAGCACACCCGCCCCGCGGAGTCGAAAAAATACACATATCTTGTATCTTTCCCAAAGAGCCAATAATCCACGCGTTCTTCGTTCTTCCGAAAAGTTGTTGAAACGACCAACCACAAAAAGTGTGTAGTGACACACGCGATGCTACAGCAGTGTACCGCCAACGATCGGCACCTCACAGCACTGCCGCCGGCAAAAAATGAACGATAGACATGGTTAGAATTCAAGATAGAACCCATCGGGCAGCACGGTGTGGAAAGCAGGTGGAAAGTGGCAGGAGCACAGCAGTTCCAACAGAGCCAGCTCGTTTTCTCGTATGGACCGTTTGTCAACATCTCCGTCTCTCTCTGTTTCTCATGCTGGAGGCGGCGTTGGCTTCCTTTATCCCCCGCCCTATTGTTGTCCAGCCAAAGGCGTTATTCCCATATCGTTCTGAGTCCCACGTGGCGATAGCGTCAACAGCACCAACCGCCTCAACTTCGCCCTCCGCTGCTGTTGTTGCTGCTGTGGGCAAGACCTCAACCTATCCTGTTTTCAACCATCGTTTTTTTCAACGGAAAACAGCACCGCCAAGACTCTCCCTGTTACTGCTGGGCGTTTACCTATGGAAGGGATTGGACCACGGCGGGTGGGTGTGATTCTGTGGATGTGCGAGACGGTATGCTACCTCTGTTTCTTCTCCTGGTTTGAATCACGCGCGCTTGAGATCTCCGCTTTTTTAATCCCGCCTTTCTTCCTGAACACCCGGGGATGGGGTGAGCTATGTATACATCTCCTACGAATTTCGGGCACAATTGCCTCTGTAGCACGACCATCTGTTGTTGGAGCACAATCAAACCGGTGTGACGAAGAGGGCCCCATTTTTCTTCCTCCTCAGAAGCCAGCAGATCGTCAATCGGTGCTCTACAGACCTCGTTCTGGCCGAAAAGGAGGGCTGTGTAGGCATCCCGGTGATCAAACTTGGGGCCCCCTTTGCATCGTGTCAATCGTGTTGGATCAGGCCGATATTTAGAGCCTTTTTTTACCTCCTGGGATGAATGAAGGGAAAAAGGTCGCGCTTCGCGTCACAACAGCCAAACTCTTCATCAAACTTGCACACGTGATAAAAAAAAGTGTACATGCAGTGCCCCCGAAGTGATGTCGTGTCGTCGGAAGTCGGTATGTTTCTGTTTGGTGTCGCGTTGGTAGTTGTCTATTTCGTTGTTGTTGTTCCGGTAGACTGGAGCGTTGGAAGGGGACCTGTCTGTCTGCCGTTTTTTGTTTCGTTGTCTTTCTCTCTCTGTCTTCTTTTTTTTCTCTGTCTCTTTCTTTTCTTTCTTTCTTTGCCTTTCGTTCTTTCATCCCTTTGACCAGGGTCGTCGATCGTCTTCATCCCGATTATAGTTTTCCTTACTGTTGATTTTTGATTTGGTTACAAGCCCTGCAGGCCGATGCCAACGGTAACCAAGTATATGCCAATAAATCTCCACTTAATCCCAATCCTCACACTTGTCATTTTGAATGAAAACCAAATTAAATGTTGTCACCTAACGAGTCCCATTGGTACATTGTCACATTTACGATGGAGAGTAAATGTCCTGTCCTTGTTGTACACTTTCAGAAAAAGTTCTGTCCTTTGTCCATACATTGTGGAAACTTAGGATAA